AATGTGAAAATACAAGTCGGGAGGTCAAAGTGGCCTCAATTTTCAATCCCCTCTCCTCCTTGGACTGCAATAGTGGCTCTCGAGTTCGTCGATTAGGGGGAAGAGAGAGAGAGAAGAACAACGGGGATGAGAAAGAGAGTCCTTCATTAGTACGGTACGAAAAACAGGAAATTAGCGACGCGGCGCGACGCGTCGCGTCGCGTCCGAACGAACGTGGACGGCAGCGATGATGACGTGTGCCAACCGGACGAACGGCGATGACCCCACCATACGATCCTCTCTTTCGCTCTCGCACTCGTCGCCGGTCCGCACCACTCCGTCGCACTCTTCCGCGATTCCACCCCTCCATCGCACGCTCGTACGAATGCTTAATCACAAATCGATAGACGTGACGCATCGCCGCGGCCTCTGAGATACGTCGACTTGCCGCCGGCTTCGGCTTATCTGCATTTCCGACCGTTTCGTTCGCGCGTGACTGGCGGTGGATTAGAGATCACGAAGCTGGCGATTGCAATCGTTCCCCGAGGCTCGCCTCCTAGGTCGTCTCGACCTTCGCCGCGTTGCGTTACGTCGTTTCTTCAGCAGGTAGTTAATTAATGTTAAATTTAAACGTTTGTTAAAATCATTTAATTTAATTTAATACACGGAGACCTCCTTTGATTTTCTTCAAACGCGAAAAGTCTCGCGGAGTGACGTGTCCGGAGTCTTTCCCGCCGATCAGAATGATGTAAGACTTATGTGAAATCATTGAGAATACTAATTGGGAGACAGCCTGGTGCATTTATTACATTCAGTCGCGCTGTGAAACTGCGAATGCTGGCAACGGGCAATGCTATGGCGACGCTGTAATGGGAAGGAGAGGTTGCGCACGAGCGAAGTGTAGTGCAATTACGTTCAGGGATAATGGTTCGTATTCGCGCGCGTATACCGTCAACGTTCAGTGCGCGATTCTCGCCTGCTTCTCTCACCTCGATGCAATTACGATTCGAACCTAACCCGCGGAGAGAATTATCTCCCCGAGTCTTGAGCGCAGCTTATTCCAGGAGAGCTTCCTCCAGCCAGTATATTTGGTTTAAGAATCGCACGCGTGAGATCTACCTCTGAATTACCGATCCTCGCAATGTCGTCCGATATGATTCTTATCTCAATATAGTATCCTATCTTGAACGCATAACAATTTTTTCTATTCCTTTAAAGATTAAACTGCGATACTTATCGATATACGCGCGAGTTGTAGCAGAATCTCGACGGTTCAAATATTGCAATTATTTCTTACATTATTGCGCGTCAATAATCTGCGAGATTTAATGAGAAGTAACGATAAGAGAATTGTACGGTCTTATTCTAAAATAATAACTGATACTGCAAATTGTAGGATGTATAGTAATGTAGAATTGTTTAACGTTTGCATAATAAATAAAGTATCTTACAGTTTTGTTTCCCAAACTCGATTTGTATGCGTCACGATAAAGTTAATGTCGGATGCATCGCATTTGTTGCGTTTAATATCTCGTATGCCGCAGGATTAAAATCCTTCTCTCGGGCGAATCAGATATATAAAACTTATAATCCGGCAGCCACACATTTTGTATCCCTATATTAAATGTACGTGAGAATATTATTATCGAGTATTTAATATATCGCATTCTTCCATCTAGTATCACTGATTAGAAAAATGTCGCGGTGCATGATATTCCAATTAATTTGTATGGAATATAAGCAAGCGATATTGATCGTGATAAATTACAAGCCGCGTTATGATAATTAATAGTCTGGAGAAATGTAGACTTTACATTTATAATGATTCGATTTAAAGCCTCATACAGAAAATAATAAAGAGTAATAAAGTTATAAAGCGATTTATACATAAATAATAATAATATCTGTAATATAAATATTGTATATGCAAATAATAATATTAAATATACATATATATAGTAATATCTAGAATACTACGAGATATAATTAAACGCGCTAAAGCGATAAATACTATATTTACATCACGTGTAACGATGTAAATAGTATAAAAATCTATGATAACACAAATTGTTGCAACTCACAACAAATCTATATAAATAAGCGCACGCTTTGATTTATATTCTAATATCTAGAGACACGATAGTGTTGAAAATACAGAAAAGATGTTCAAAGACGTCTTACAAATGCAAGATAGATCGAGTAACAGCAGTGTCATCAAATAACCAGTTCAACGTGAAAGAGCAAAGTATCTCTTGAACTCGATTGATTGGTACTCGTTAATCTAACACGTTTCACATCTCGCATTTCTTCTTTTTCACAAGAATATATCCGTGCACGCTGCATTATGATAATCCAAACAAAACATTGATTTATTCGAGGCATCAAGTCGTTTATGTCGTATCGAATCGATAAGGGCGTAATTTCCATCCGACGATATTAGGTCATGCCACTCGTGAATACATGTTAATGTAGTTTCATGTCGAATGGAAAGGCAACGTTGGGACACGGAAACGTAGCGCCCGTCGCCGCCGCCGCTCCTTCCAACGAGCTGTATTTTATCGACTGTCTTTATACGAGCTCCGACACGGCAACGTTACATCAAATGTATTCGAAAATGGCGGCCACAGTTATTGCGTTAGTCGGCCGCCGGTTGTTCGAATAATGGACTGCTGTTAAAGTATCTAGATTAAAGAGGAAGGCACGATATGACTTTCCGCTCGTCGTTAAGTCATTAAGAAAAGAAAATTGTTCCGCGCGTTATTGTAGGGTCGCCATGGACAATCGAGGTCAGGAGCCGGACGGTATACACGAACTATATTGTGTAGCGTCCAGGAAATTGATGGTGAATGAAATTACGACGGGGCTTAGTGAATTAAAAAGCGCGAAAGGTTATATAGCTATTGATTGATTAATGCCTTTTCAAATATCACATTCGGCTAACTTTCTTTCTCTCGTGGTTATCGGATCTTTTGGTACATCGACATATTATGGAACTGAGCCAACTCAATTCTAGGTCCGCAATTTACTTACGATCATGCTGAACGCCACGTTGAAAAAGAAGATAAATAGGAGAAAGAAGAAAAAAAAAAAAGAAAGAAAGTTGAATTTTTAACCTCTCGTAAAAACATCAAACGCTCGTTTCTCAGTTTCCGACCATTTCCGACGATGTTTCGCGCAGAATGTTTAAAGACCGTAGAAAATCGATGACGAATGAAACTTTGATCTCGTGTGTCTCATTCACTGTATTCAGCAGCGGCAGTGCATTGTAAACACATGCGTATGCACGTAAACTATTATGCGGCTGCAACGGCGACGATGGCTGCTCACTGGGTGAAGCAGTCGTATAAGCCGGAGTACGGAGTTCAACGACCGGTATAAATTAAAGCGGCGCTCAGATTTCAATGCCACGGCCTTGCTCAAGGCCGTCGCACTCGTAGAAAATCAACGGTACATTTGCGTCGGCATTCGTAACAATAAATTGCGCGAATACGACGCGTATATATATATATATATACGAGCGATTGGGTACAACCATTTGCAAAACTAATATCGTAAGACTGCATGATGAACTTATTTCCTACGACAATTCGCTCATTAAACTCGAATTTCTAAATAAAAATTGCGCAATCAAGTTAAAGAGTTTCACATTTCTTCAGCTATAAGAATTCTTTGATCTCATTTTTTTTTTTTTTAGAAATATCGTGGTTTTTTCTCAAAAATAAAATATTTTGCGATAAGAAAAAAGTATGATTAAGATTTTTTTATTAAAATATCTATTAAACAAAAATTACTTAATTTTCGCTAATGTCGGGCTAATGTAGGACTGATATTTTTTATCCTAACAAATTCTTAGCATGCATGAATTTATTTCGTTCATCACGTTTGCATTGAATACATGCATTTAGTTTTCTAAAATTATAACACACATGCATAATTTATTCAATTATATCACTTATCCACTCTTGTGTTACAGAGGGTGCTTCATTGTTATTATTATAACGCCTGTAACGGTTAATGCGGTAACACGATTTGGTAGAGATTTTAATTGTGGAATTGTTAAGAAGACCTGGTTTGTTTGGACTCCTTTGCGCAAGTGTAATTTATAAGCAAAAAAATTCACAATTTGGTGGAACATGTATTCGTACACTCGATGCACATATATTTTTGCCTCGTTCAGAATATTGCAAAATATTTCGCACGGAAGGAAAAAAAACATTTTATTACAAAATTATCACGACATGTTTAACAATCTCGAATTGTTCGCAAACATTTACGGTGCATTTGTAACGAAATCATTTCCCAATGAGCAATATATTTATTCGTCGCACACGAGATTCGCGTGGGTGTACGCTTCGCTATCGTACGATTTTTCCGCGAACGCGTAAATGTATTCCATCGCACGATAGAACTCTATAAATTAGCGTTATTGCTCTAACGTGCGGCATTATCACGTAAACAAATGACATACACGTTGCTACTGGGTAATTAATTAATTTACTCAAATCGCCGCAGGCAGGTTTTGATACGCAATACGCTAGGCATCGACATGAGTCTATGCAAAACAGTTATCGCACTGTTCGTTCAATACCACAAAATCGAGGTTATCACCATTAAATAGAGTAATGCTGAATTATATTCTATAAAGTACGACTAGTCATAGAAAATAGAACTGTTGGAATTATTTGCGACAACTGAGAAAAGTAGTCTACTTATCGTAAGTATGTAAATACTTATCAGTAAAAATAAACTATACAAATAGTTGTCGATTTTGCTAGACAAGGTAGAAAATCAACGATTCGAAATTGACATTTCCGGTCTATTATATATCGATAAGTGTTCTATATTATGAGATAGACAGCGTTCTTATTATCTAATTAACTTTATTTCTGCTTCGATGCGATTTCTCAACGAAACAGCGTTATTCGCTCGGACGTCACTTATTGAGCTTACGTAAGAGATACGTGCCAAATTTGCGGATTTGCACCCATTCATAACGGTCTCCCCGATTCTAATTTTAGCAGCATACTGGTCTCGAGGCGACAGCGCAGCGTCGTCACTCTTCGGCGGGATGCCGGGTGGTTATGGCCTGGGGGCTCCCCATTTGCCCTCGGCTTACGCTATTCTGGGCCGAGGGGGCTCAGCGCCTGGCTTTGGGGGTCACACACCAGCCTCGGCACCACCCCCGTCCCCGTACCCTCACAGCAGCCTCGGTACGCTCAGCGTGGCCGCCAGTCAAGCTGCAAGTCTGGGTAAGTAAATTTTCCACTAACCCTCCGTCTCTTCACATCCGTCTCTTATACTCATCCCTCCTTCATACGTTTCTGAAAGTCCTGTCAATTAGGGTAAGTCGAGTGTTCAATGAAACATACAAAATATGGACTATTGGTGCAATAGAGCATGTTTTGTATGTTTGATTGAATGCACTATACGACCTCAATCTTTTTTTTTTCCATAAGACATCTTGACTATTTTAGACTTCACAATTTAGATTTCAAATTTACTTATTTGTAAGACGTCTCTTTTAGAAAAATATTTTTTGTTGTATCTATCTCTCATTGGCTCATCCAGACCCAGACAATCGAGCGTTGAGCAGTGTTTCGAGATCGAATTTTATAGACCGGGCGGATTTACCGGATGTATCTTTCGTGTTGCAGGCATCAACCCAGCAGCCACTGCATGGTGGACAATGGCCTCTCATCTGGCGGCGCAAGACTACCTCGCGAGGCTACAAGGAGCCCCCCTCCCCCCCTCCCCCGCCTCTCTACTTAATCCCCCGTCCCTCTCGTCCCACAAGTCCAGTAAGTGTAAGTAACAACGACAATATTGCATAATACAATGCTCGAGAAACGTTCGCCTCCGTTCTCTTAATCCTCAATCGCCGAGTCTTTTCGAGATAACAACGTCACTCGGAATATTTTTAACTGTTTTCTCTTTTTAACGCTAAATATTAAAGAATTGTCTGATGAGACACAATTTTTACTTCTTGCTTTTTGTTTACGATATATTTTTATATTTGTTTTTATCTAAGCTATATCTACGTAGCTTTTTCTCGTAATTTTATTTATCACTGTAATTATTTTCTATTTTGCGGGCAAGATGTTTGAGTTTTGTATATTTTTATTTATATTTGAAGTTATAATATAATTTTAAAATTTCTCTCAAGTTCGAGTTAAACAAGGTTACTTGTTAATGAGGTAGAAACTTTTCAAAGTATAAACTTACTTTCGTAACAATTGACAGCCTTGCCGGTTTTGGATTGAGATGAATGCGGACATTTTTTTCGAAGATAATTTAGATTTAGATGAATCGTAGATGTACAATTATGTTTACGTTTTCGTGGTCGAGCAGCTAAGTCAAGCAAGAGTCACAAGACGCCGCCAGCTAGCAGTAGTAGCTCAACAACACCAAGTATGACGAGCAGCAGCCTGCCGGTGTCTACTCAACCACCGGTGACATCATCCTCTCATCACAGTACCCCGGTCAGCAGTACGCCAAATTCGCAATCCAACGTCGTCAGGTGAGAGATTATTCGTTTCGCATATTTAATAAACAAGGCCGCAGATTGATTTTATTTAACTCGCTAAAAAATTGTATTTTCACGCTATCGTTTTTCCTATCGCGACAGTTCTGCGAAGGAAGGAAGGTGAATATATTAATTCAATTACGCGATAGATTTTTCACGAAGCTCTGATTGAAATTAAAATATATAAAATAGGCCCATTTTTTTAAATCTCTTAATACAATTAAGTTCTTGAACTTCACTGTTCAATTATCTTCTCTCTCTCATTATATAATTTAATCTACTTCAATTGCCGTAAAGAATAAGTAATTTCACAGTGATGTTTTATCTAGTGATCCTAGCAGTATATTGGGAGGTGTGCGCCTACCTCCCGACACGGAGATTATCAAGTATACGTCAAGTATAGTCGGTCCAAAGGTTCCTGGAACGACAAACCGCGGCAGGAAGAAGACAATATCCTTGGACACTCCCAGCGTCAGCGTACATCCGCCGCCCGTCCCTACCCTTAGCGCTCATCAGACAAACACGACATCGTCCTCGTCGCTAATGATAGAACCGAGAAAGTACAATCGCACGGGGGTACGTTCAGTCACTGCACGTGTCAGTCACAATTCCGAAACACTCAAGCATAAAATTGCAATCAATCAACATCTATTATTGGTTACTTTTTAATATGACAAATACTTAAATTTTATTTATTTTCACTCAGTTGCGGAATTAAATTGCTCCCTTAATTTTATATCCGCTACACGAATCTGTATTTGTGCGCGATGTCATGTAATCGTGCACGTTTCGTCTTTCCTCAGACCGACTCGAACGAATACAGAGATTCGGTGGATCGAGTAGAAGTAATCAAACTGCCGGCCCATTCAACGAACGGCTCCGTTCTGTCGGCGCCACCGACGTATACTAGCAGCAGTAGCAGCAGTAGTAGCAACGCGAATAACAACATCAACGATTCGGACGCACCCCTAAATCTCTCCTTAAAGCCCGCCACGACGAGCAGTAGCTCGCCGATTTCTGGTAGTCAACCGCTCAGTCAGCTCAGTAATTTAAGCCAATCGTTACTTGCCTCCGATCGAACGTGTAAGTATAGCAACTGCACGTTCAGCATTTTCAGTTATTACTTTTTTAAAATCGTTGTGACATAAAGTCATTGTATGTTTTTATTTAATGGAGCAATTGCTCGTGAAGCAAGAAAAAGAATTAACAGCGTTTTTGCAAATACACAATACAGCTTGTTATTTAAATCTCCACATTTTTTAAACTCAGTCTTTTAGAAAAAAAAATTAAAGTAAAATTATATAAATTAGTTGTCAAATCAGGAAATATATTCCGATAGCCCTGTATTCTTATTTATGTTGTTTTCAAAATCCATCAAGATTTTACATACACAAGCGAATATTTACGTGTTGAGAATGTTAGTCTCGATAGAAAAGTTTGTCTTTATTTCCAAGAAGTCAATTTTTCTGAAAAAAAAATACGTGGTTCAGATAATCAAAACTTTATGAATTATTGTAGCGAGACGAAAACCCGGACCAAAGCCAAGAAGAGTTCCGCAGAATTCGGTGCCGGTACCGGCGTCACCTAGTCCTTCCTTGGCGCAGCTTTTCGCTGCCGCAGACTCGCCACAGCGGCCGAGTAGCGGCAGTGAGGAAAGCGAGAGTGCAAGCTCTGCCACCCATCACAAGGACGGTAGGCCGCGAAATCTCGGTCGCGGTGTATCGAAGCCTAAGAAGAACACGGTCGCGTCGTTGTTGGCTCAAAGCAGAGCTCTAGGGATTAAACCCACCCCGACTTTGGATCCAAGTGTGCCATTGTCTCACCAAGTATCGTTGCTGAGGTCAAATATACTGGCAGCTCAATTGCACGCTTCCGTCGCTACTGGTCAGAGTGACGAAAAGAACCAGGTAAAATCCAGCTATCAGCGTCAACGTGAAATACCTTTATCGTACGAGTATTAATTTTAACGTGTCATTTTAATATATACGAGTATTAATTTAAAAGTTAATAATTACATTTTAATAGAAACTTTATTCTTTTATTCTGACTTCTGTACTTATGTAATTTCCGTATATCTTTACGATTATCTTTTGTTAAAGTACTATCACTTGCTAACGAAGATACAGAAGAAGAAGCGACCTCGACCAATTCGTGCTTCGTGGGCGAGGAGCCATGTTCGTTTTTCTTTTTTTTTTTACTTATGATTTCGCACTAAAACCATTCTCCCTATATAGAAATCTTTGCAGGAAAAGATGAAAAACAAGTTGCTGGAGGCTTCGGGAGAAGAGAGTAACATGGACGTGACCAGCGAGAGCGGCAGTAACACCGATGTTGTCACGGATACCGATGACGACAATGCGGAAGGCACACCTAGCGCGAAGAGGAGGAAACTCAAACCCAGCGAAAGAGACCTTCAAATGCCGTTAGAGCGCGGTTGGAAGCGTGAAACGGTTATCAAGGGACTAGGAAAGACGGGAGTGATAAAAGGCGACGTGTCGTATTACAGCCCCTGCGGGAAAACTTTTAGGAGCAGTCCCGATCTAGTGAAGGTTGGTTGCAACATATTACGATGATGGTTGGTGTACGTTATCAAAAGTGATTCGCATGAAGTCGCGCTGGCAAGTTTAGAGTACTTTGCTAAACTTTCTGTCATTGCTTTCGCGCGCTATTATCATATCTACATCGTGATACATAACATAATAAGAAAATAACATAATTACGAAATACAAATGACATTTATTAATTGGATTACTGAAGTCGACTTCTTTTAAGAAGAAATCAATTTCTTAATTTCAGTTTCTGGAACATCAAAATCCAGCCGAATTAACTACCGCCAATTTTTCGTTTTCCTCTCGTCCATTGGTGGGGGAATTCCTGCAGCCAACGATGGGTTTAGCAGAGGCTGAATTCGTCAGACTCGGTGCTCAGGAAGTAGCGCGAAGACTGGAAGAACTCAGAGCGGCTGGTGGCTTTAGAGACGTACGGACGAACAATCAATATGATAGAGAGAAGCTAGCTTATGCGAAAAAACTCGCGAAGGAAGAAGCGCAACGACATAAAGAACAAGCTAGGTACGACATTCCATTATTTAAATATATTATTATTTAAACGAATTTATTTCTAAAAAAATATTAAATAATATTACTCGAGTAGATTAAAAAATATGAAAGGAGTTAATGCGCGTTATTATCTATCTGTTGAGAGAGACCACTTCATAAAATTGATAATTGTCAATAATAGTTAAATAAATTATGAAATTTATTGAAGTGTTAATCTCATCGCTATGTGAGAAGTTAGATATTTATTCACTTACTGGAATTTAATACTTAATCCGAAGTTTCGCCATCGCAACATGTTGATGTTTAATTAACGCGTATTTATTTTTCTTGCCGCAAGATTATTGCTTGCGTAATCATAAAACGTTATCGAGCAAAAAACCAGTGTCGCAGATCGCTATGTTAATTCAGAACTCGAATTCTTTTAAACATTCGTAAAATTGATGGATATAAAATAGTTTACTAGTAACCGTTGATTAATTATTTGTTCGAGTCTTTTTACTGCTCGGGAATTACGTCTACTTAATGATACTCTCATTGTAGGCTTATTAAGGAGCAAGAGAAGACAGAACGGCTGGAAGCTGTTAGACGAGAACGGGAGATCAGGAATCAACAACTACTCGAGGTAAGTCGATGTCTATCACCGAGTTTCCTTCACGTTTGTCTCGATCTCGTTGTTTCATTCACACATAAAACTGTTCTCTTATTCTATTTGGGATACCTACGTTTTTTTGTATTTTGTCCACCTGTCGTGCGTGTCGCATGCTCTCTGTGTGTGCCGTATTTATATATATATACATATATATATTATCTCCGTATATATATATATACATCTGTCTATATATACATATTATATACAACTTTTTTTAATGAATATTCTTGTATAGAAAAACTCTTTTCTTATACTATATATATACCAATGAACCTTTTACAACCTCTAATGTCCCAGAATACACGAGACACCCATAGCCAACCAACAACCGCTAGCGATAGTGACAGGAGAACCCAGCATGTCCTCCCACCCTACCCCCTACCCGCCCTATTTGATTTCTATTCTTTTTAATTTTGTCAAATTATTGTGTTTAATTGATCAATAAAAACCGTTGAAAATTGTAGTCGCAATTTTGTTTTTATCAAACGAAGGCAAACTGTTATAGAAAAGGCAAAAAATAAAATGAAAAAAATAACTCTGGCATTCAAACATTTCAAACGATCTAATAAGAGGAATAGAAAGTTTTATTTCTTTTACAATCTACTTCTTTTTGGTGTACGTTAAAATACACGCGTCGAATTTTTAATTTTTTTTTTTTTATAAATACGAACGCGAGAATCGTGAATAAATTAATATGGATGCCAGTATTGGTTTAAATTCCAAAATTCTTTCCACGATATTCGATATTTCATACACTGAGATCTGTTTTGAAACAATCCCATGTGTTTTCAATCGATACTGTTGATGCTTTTATGTATGTACGCTGTAAACAGAAGTATCGTTGATACATTTTGTTTCCCATTATTTTTGTCGATGCTGTCGGATAATGAGACAAATAATTGCATTTCATTAAGAATTATTTTTGACAACGGAAAATTTACGTGACAATAAAAGCACTTATTGAAATAATGGACGAATCGTATACACCATCTGAAATTTCATCTTTTGATCAAAATTATAATTTTAATGGATGTTTCCTCCGATTCTGCATTTTAGGCAAAATTGTTCAATCATTTGTACCTTTTTAATTATGTAAGATACTTATTATATATTACTATTTCTATTATACAGTATTTACTATTTCTGAAAATGTATATTATAGTAACTTGTAAAATTTAAAAGGATGAGATATAAAGTACGCATTAAAAATAAAGAATCGTATTATCTAAAAATAATTTCTATTCGCTACTGATTTCTATCGGATTCCAAAAAAATTGAAGATAAATTTTTTAATTTTAATTTACGCTTAATTTATGCTAGTTTAATTTTAACAAAGGACGAAGATACATTTTGATATTGGAATACGTGTTTAATACGATCGGCGTTATTCTGGAAATTTGTCTGTGCGAGAGAAAACCTCGTCGAAATAGAGGCGCGCGATTGTAGAAATTTCAAAAGTCCATCCATTGTGATAGTCCTTCAAACTATGCCCCATCGGAATCCTCGCGCAAGCCAGATTATCACCCTGTCCCCCTCAATCACTGTCACTCGTTCGTTCATGTTTCCTCGCATTCACACACGCATTCCACATCCACACGCACATCACTAGCCCGAAACATACACACACAGCCCGTGCAATTTGAAAGAATAGAAGGAGACGTCAAACGACACAATAGTGTAGTAACTGTAGCTACACGTGGATTCACATGTAGTGGAAAACGCGAAATAGGGATGCCCAGAACGTATATAATCGATCCTAATCGATTTTTTCTGGGACGTAGAGAACGAAAAACGAAGCGGATGTATATTATCGATGCATATTACATTTAGACAAGCTAATTAATATTGGCATAATTTAGCAAGGTATCGATGTAATTGAGAGCGTTATTATTTTGTTATGTGTGTATTGTGTTATCATTGTGTTCAACATTACGAGAAATAGTCGAGAGAGGAAATTATTTCATATTATTTAATATCTTCATAAATAGTCAACAAGTATGTCGCGTATTTCTTTTTTTATTTTACATAGTAACCGCTTTTATGTGCTTATAGTATCTAAAATTGGCTTTATCGGAATTACACATATTTTAGTCTTTTTAAGGGTGGTACGCCGAGTTCATAAAATCGCAATTATTAAAGTCATTATTGCAAATAACAATAATGCCACTGTATAGAATTTATTTGCCGATAGCGTAGCTTTACCTTTTATTTATTCTGATAAAATATTTAATACATACTTAACACATTCCAAATCTTGCGTCGTAATCTTAAGAAAAGATATTCTTTAGGATACATTTTGCGTAGAAAATTATTTGATTGTCATTATAATTTTAGCTTCGTATATTACCGTATAATCAATTCGCGTATCGTATGATCTCCGCGTATCGCCCCGATTCAATCCCCCGCCGGTCGACCGCGAACGACCGGTCGCATGTGGTTGCTAAACGACCACCTTCCTCCCAATTAACGCGATCGATTATATATTGGGCATCCCTGTAAACCACCACCAACGCAGGGTCGAAAGCGGCTCGCGTTCACGATCAAGCAGAAAATGAAGATCATCCAAGAGATCGAGCGCGGCAAGAGCAAGAGCGACGTGGCTCGCGAGCTGGGTCTGGCGAGCAGTACGGTTGCCACCATCTGGAAGAATCGCGAGAGCATTGCCGAGAGCTGGCGCAACCGGGACATGATGCACCAGGCAGACATCGAGGACGTACCGTCGAAGAAGCCACCGTCGATGTCATCCCTCGCGTCGACCACTGCCGCGTACTGCACGCCGGTGACGATGACGACGATGACGACGATGACGACAACGACCGCGATCACAACAACGCCGCCGTCTCTGGTCTCTGGCGTGGTCGTGCCGCCTCCACAGGTGCAGGTGGTGCCACAGGTACTACCACCGCCACCTTACCCCACCTTGACCCTGCCGCCGGCGTCGGCGGGCCTTGTGCCATCACCGCAGCCGACGGTGCCGATCTCGTCTTCGTCGAACCTGTCATCGACCACCACGTCGACCGGTACGACGACCACGACCATGCCGCCGGACAATACCCAGCAGGCACAGACCCAGACGCAGAGTCAGGAACTTCTGGAGGTAAGATGTCGTATGACGCATCCCGAACCCCCTCTCATCCGAATCACCCTGTCCATGGTCTTGCCCGCCTGGACCCGTTGATTCTCCCCTTTTTTTCGTACCCCATTAACATCCTTCACGTAATATCTCGAAGCTCGATATCCCGACATATGCGCCACTTGGATCCATCATCGACCACATCATATTCACTAATGAGTGTTGTCATATTGTCTTGTGAGTCGTTATTACTTCCGGATGTCCCTATCTCTCCTTTTGGCTTTAATTTCCTCCGCGATCCGGAAACGGTTTGCGATAGAAGGGCGAAGAGATCCCCGGAGGTAAGAGTTACCGTGAGTATACCGGCTCGCGGCTCGCGATTCTTCTACGTGTGTTTGCGTGGGGTGAAATAATATAAGTGTTTCCGCTGCTCCAACAGACGAATATCGTGCGAATTTTACCATTTTTGCGTCAGTCTTCGTCGTCTCTTCAACGTTCCTTTCAACGTTCTCTACTTTGAAAAATAGTGTACACAGTAAAATAAATTCCGTTTCAATGGAATAAATAAAGAATGAATTAGTATCTCGACTTTCTTTCTTTATTAATATGTCACAAGAAGAATACGAATAGTTTTAATATCATAAATTACTAAATAGTGTTCTTGTATCATAAATTCACTTTTTATTTCTTATTTTTTCAAGGAATTTTGAATTTTTTATAAATGTGTTTTAATTAATAAATAATATCTTGGATGTTAATCGCCTAAATATTTTGGGACTATAAGCTAAAACAAAGCTAAAAAAAAAATCACGTTTTATCTTGGTGCAGAAAATTCCATGTTTCTGAAAGTCCAATGAACACGAGTCTTCAGTAGAAAGTTTCATGATATTTTTATAGTCGTTTTACAATTCTTCAAGCTCTCTTATTATAGCAAAAGTTTATAACGTGATGACATGTATCATCAAAGTGAAGAGACGGAATCCGCGACTGACGTCATAAATTCACCCCCACGTACTACTTTTTATCGCGTAGTAATGAAATGGAAAACATACATACATACACACATACATGCATATAGATGCTCATCACCGTGCTTTCGTAGGGTTGAATGTGGCCGATCTTTTTGTTCGACCAAGCGGATTTCGGAATTTTGTTTTATTATCTGTGATCATTTATTATGCTATCTATAAAATAGTGTTTGTTTTCGAAAATTTATTTAATTCATCATCTACGGATTATTTTTAAAAAATCGTAAATTTGTATTGATTATATGTATAATTAATTAAATAAAAATTATGTAAAATTTGAAATTTTTATACTGAAATAAGTGCTTTTTATCTCATCATTATTCTAGCGAATTTAATTTAAATTGGAAAATAATTTATTTCAATTCACTTGAAGATAAGACTTAAAACTTAACATTCGTAATCTACATTCACGCTGATAACTCATGAAAAATAAAATAAAGCTCTAATTAAAGTAACGCTTCAAATCAATTATAATTTATCTTCAATTTGATTCATAGAGTACATTTCGAATCCATGCTCAAGTTTATTATTTATCAAATTTTCTCGATAAAGGACAAGAAATCCGAAATCCGAAATCCGAAAGATTATAAAGAAGAAGCATCGATCTCGAGTTCTCGTTGATCGGCGTTTTCCGAGATTGGCAGCGGAAAAACACGGTTCACTGAGAATCATGGGATCTAGATGCTAAATCAACACTGCGATCGAGGCACGTTAAAGCTAAACGATATACGTAGGCACGATAAATATATACGATAATATATAAACCGACTGTCGCAATGCTCTCCTGTGCCTAGCTTCTCCTGTCACTATACAAAATAACAGCTAGCTACATGATTATCCAGCATGCCATACTTCTCGAAGAACCTGTCTCTAGTATTCGATTATTCGCTACACGAGTATATATAAGAGCTTTCCTTTACCTTCTTGTTGTACTGCGGACGACACACAAATTACCCGCGTAATGAACATGTGACACCTATACCTCTCATATATATATATATATAAATATATACACATATATTACATATATTTTTATTACTATGTATTATCTACTGTTACATTTTATATTCCTAAGTAAAACGACACGATAGCTTTAATATTTTATCAGCTTAAGCGACGGTACATACGTACCATTGATATAATATGTGCATACATAGGCGAGTATTGCTTGGCTCCTTGCATGCCCGGCTGAAATTTTTTCACTTTTCCACGTATTCTTCTATTTCTCTTCGATCTCTGTTCATCTTGTATAATGGTGTTGATTTATAACAGTTTACGCTCTCTTATTATCTCACACAATTGACTCTTTTTTCTCCTATTTATATAATAATTAAATATAACTATTTCAATTCGTGTTTTTGCTGTCGAATTCGCTCTCAAATATTTCACGAGCGAGTCAGTCTTCGTTATGCTTGGCTGCTGTCTCGACGTATACGCGTCATTTTTCTTGGTGGGGTTTTAATATTAAATCGCATGCTTTTACTACTCTTTTTCTCTCTTTCTCTCTTTGTACAAGGATTTTTTACGAGGACCTATTGCGCTAATTGAATATGCAATGTTTATCGGTATGTAGAAACTGAGCGTGCGTTATCTCACGGCTATTACGATGAGCCTAGCATATCCGATGATAAAGAATCCACGAGAGCGCAATAATCGGATCGCCGAGTTGACAAAAACGGAAGTAAACTACGGGCATTTAGCAGAATAGATTCAGATTTTTAGATTCAGATTTTTAGCATGAATATAGCCGGGAAGGACGCAAAGATACGATTTGTAATCCCGAAATTCTAATGTAGTCTATTTTTCATTAAGGGTGCAAATTAGTAAAAGTAAGTTGTTCTTTCTTTAAATTCAAAATGAACTTAATCAGAACTTCAACTTGATATTTAAGTATCCGAGGTGTATTATTAAAAAGTTACGGTGCCTTCCTAGGAAATCTGCGCTGAAGAAGGTTCGGCTTCAAATAACAAATAATTGGCATTAAAATATAAATGCACCCGTACTAACTTCCAGCTATATTCCTGAACTTTAGAGTAGTGCTTAATCCCTGATCTGCGCTATTTAGATATCGCTTTCCACACGTAGTCTTCGAATCACAATTACACTGTGAATATCACGAAATCAAAACCCGAGGAAAAATTATCGCGGATAGACAACTTGTATAGCTATTCGTTCGATTGAGAACTCAATAAGAATCCGTTTCTATTCGTTCAGAGAAATATAAATAATCGCCACATATCAAGAAGCGGAGATCGAGATGGTTGCTTTAGAAGTCAATTGCATTAATTTTTTGTTGAATATTTTCACAAGAAAAATATTAATAATTGTCAATAAAAATTGTCGGTCAAGAAATCTTGAAAATTATATTGCATTTTTATAATAATTTTTCTCACATTCTATATATGCAATGTATAACTTTTAAAAGTTGAGTACTTCTGAAAATTATTCTTTGAATTATTAAAAATAAAGCCCTTAAACTTTTTTTTAGACTGTGCATATACAACCCTGTATGACAGTTTTCATACATTCGCTTCTGAAATGTAATAATGAATGTCAAATTTACAAGAAAAATGTTAACAATTTACATTTTAATTTAATATAATCAAAATAAAACTGCATCTTTGCAGTAATAAAATAGCTTCTCTGCTCTTGCAACCCTCTCGATCATTGCTGTGAGAAATCCAGTAGGGCATACGGTAACTTCAAGCTAATTAATCAATTATCAGTACTGATAACGGGAAAGTTTTCGTTGCTAAAACAATGCCTTTTTCTCTTGTCGTAAATACCGAGCGATCCCGCGAACGAGAACAAAATTACCTAAGTTTTCTCTTGATAAACATGATTACGGATGCGAGTGACGTGTGTATGGCGTATGCGCAGGCACGAAAAAAACGGCAGGAAGAGGTGGAGAAGATCCGACTGGAAGAACAACAAAGGAAGCAACAGGTAATTCAACAATCGTTACTATGTTAATGCTCGACCCTGTTCTTCTCGAGTTGTCTAAAGTTAGATGTAATACGCGAACGAATGACTGCCACGATACTATTTCTACAGTTGTATTAAAGAGTCTTTTAATTCCTCAGGAACGGGAGCTGAAGAGGCAGCAAGCGGTTATGCTGAAGGAGCAGGTGAGTTCTTGTCTTAAAACAAATCGTTCACCGCCAATCGTTTCATCGCTGTAGATTAGCGTGAGTGTGCGTGAGTGTGTCTCTCGTAGACGTAGAGGTGTTTTACTTTTTTGTCTTCATTCGTCGTTCCCCATTTATTTTTATGATGAAACTCCAAGTAAATTAATCTTACGTTACGTATCGAATTAACCGGAAGGCAGGAAATTTTATTTATCAAGAACGTACGCGAAATAATATTTTGAATAGAATAAAAAAAATGAAATGGAACATTTTTTTACGTGGTAGAATTTATTAATTATCGTATCTCGGAAACAGTATTTATTAGTGAAGACTTCATGTAAGTTGCATGTAATTTTTTTGTAGGGATGTTTGAATAGAATGTTTGATTTTAAACTCTTTGATTGTAAATATTCATAGATTTTTGCAAAAGATTTACCCTCTTATTTAAACTGACTTGAGTATTAATAGAAATATAATCTCAAATTGAATTAAACATATTTTTTAATGAAAAGTTACATCGTTTCTGAAGAATTGCAATTCTTTTTATCGTAATCTTTTTGCATTTTAGAAAACGCGTTTCCGATCTTAAAAAAATAGCACGTTGTACATTAACATTTATTCATGTCATTGCTCCGAAATAACTTTTTGAAAGTTAGGAGATCGTATGTATTATTTTAATGTTTAATAAAACACAGTTATTGTATAAGGAAATTAATTACGCAGATATATATGAGGAATGCAACGCTATTATTTTACATGTTACTTCAGTGATTAGTAAGTTCTAATTTACGTTGTAGAATATTCACTTTGAATAATCTAACATTCTGTGTTTCGGATCCACAGCTCTAACTCATTATTTATATTACCAATATTCATCGAAAAGTAAAATTGCTGATGCGATTAATATATCATTTTCGGGGAAGTGTAATTCATTACATATCATATGCGGGATGTTCATTCTTTATCACAAAAAATGAATTTTAACTGTGGACTACCTGATGAATTTCGAGTAAAATTTTTTAGCGAAACTTCAGTGAGAATCCGAATATGAAAGTATACAATGAAAATTAAAGATTATCCGCACAAATAAAAAACTTTTAGGATTAGATAAAATTTCAGTCTCTTATTTTCAATAGATTCTAATAAAAGCTTGAATTTATTATGAATTATATTACTAAGACATTTAATTGCCTTAAATACAACCATTTAATATTTCATTAAAAATTGTAAAGTTTTTCTATATGTAATGATTCTTGTTTAAAATTCTTGTTTAAAAAACGTTAATGATTCTACATTGGACGAACATGCTGTCGCGAAAATTTATAAGGATGAAGATGAGACATCCCGTAATCACTTATCGCACTTGCTTTATCTTAAAATCGAAACAATCAGTCCAACATAACATTGCCGCGCATTGCTCAACAATCTTGTCGTGAAAGGATCGATCGCACTGCCGATTTCGCGACACGATTTAATTCTGTGGCAGTCAAATAAGTAGAGAACATCTACAGTAGAGAGCGAGGGAAAGATTTTAGATTGAGTGTGGCGGTTTGAGCACTAGTGGACTGTGGATGTGTTTTGTGCCGCAGATGTACATGCAGGAGCTCACCAAGCAGCGCGAGATGCTCTACACCGTCGAGCTGGTATGTCACATACCCAATCTAGCGTCTAACAGAACGGCATTAACGAATTAGCGACTTGCTCTCGCAACTAACTCGCATCGGCTCTGCGTTACATCGCAAACTGCGGCGTGTACATGAACGGCTATGCGTTACATTTCTATCAAATTTCTGACGTGTGTCAATTCGAGATCTATCTAACGACGACGGCTTATCGGATTACGTGTCGCGGTTTACATGTACCGTTCAACACCTCGGCATACTGTACTTTTGTCCGTAACGCAATAATGTTCCATTTCTACCAATGTAGAATAGCTTTAATCTTCGAACTTATCTCCTTATTTTTTTCTAATTTTAAGAAAGAATTAGAAAAAATAAAGAGTAAGTTAAACTGAGATTAAAATTAATCTCAATACATTGGTAGAAATTGATACAAGCCCGCTTACTTAATCGATCTGTATTTGCTTCAGCTTTCACAAATCATTGCAGTTCATAAGCTTACATACTGTAAAAAAAAAGCACACGTTTCGCATTTCTGAGTTCAGTGCTAGGGACCCGAAATTTTTCACTCGGTTGCGCTATGTGATGACGTATTTGGTAGAAACTTCTTTCGAAAATTTTAAGAATTGTAGGATTCATCTGGCTAAAGGGAGATGTTTCGAGTAGCTCGGGCAGCCGCTGGTTCTGGTTTGCTAGAAACTGCACGGTTTTCTGCGCACTGTAAATGTAAAAGGGCGATTTCCGCCATCGACGCGTCGTATTGCTCTCCTTTTGACTATCAGTGCATCCGTTTAACAATACTGTTCGTAATGTGTAATGCGTGAAAGAGAAATTTGGAACGGTTGTAGAGTTTGGCCCATTATCCATGCGTGACACAAATACAAAGTGGAAAATCATGGGAATTGTACATGAACTTGAACAACTCGAATTACAACCAAAGTCCTCATTTCTTCAAACGTTTATATTTATCAAAAAAATACGTAAATTTTCTAAAATATAACCGTTCTTAGACTTTTTACTTAAAGTTTAAATTTTCCATTGAAGATTTTTGAAGTTTAATGAATAATAATATTTGTAAAAAAAAATAACTGATTTTTCATTTCACACAACACACACACACACACACACACACACACACACACACAAATACACATATATTGCGCTTTATTGACAATGCACAACAGAAAATTTAAATACAGTCGCAATTTTATCTTGATTCAACATTATCTGCATGAGCGCGTGTTAGTTAGTTTTTCTGCATGTTATTGTAACACGATTAATGATGACCGCAGGAAAGAGAAAGAAGGAGGCAGCATATGGCTCTGGTACGAGCACTAGAGAACCGTCGGAAGATGGAGGAGAAAGAGAAGAAACGCTTGGAGGCCAGGGCCGAGAGAATAGCGACGAAGGAAAAGCGGGCGGAACAGAGAAGAATTGAGTTGGAGTTAATCGAACAAATTCGCAAACCCGTAGAGGATATGGAACTGACAGGTACGCGAAAGTGACTGATATTGACGCGATGAGAACATTGCTCTTATTACATCACGTAGCGAGCTAAGAACTTAGGTGCCAAGTTCGTGCATTTCTGAATAACAAGAATTTTAGATTAATGTGATATCTAACTAATTCTAACTAATCTTTTAGATCATAGACCACTGCCAGAAGTCAAAAGAATACCTGGACTTAAGCTCTCCGGGCAAGCATTCGCAGATATCGTTATGGTCTTCGAATTTTTGCACAATTTCGGGGAGACTTTAGGATTCGGTGAGAACATTTTGTTTTACATCTGTCAGAATAAAAACCATTTATCATTTTATTCGGCATTCATTGTTATTATCCTATTTGTTGCAGACATGGAATCGCTACCGAGCTTGAAGAGTCTTCAACTTGCCCTTCTCAATGATGAAGAAGCTGAGGAGGAAATGCTGTCGGTTATGACACATCTGTTGGTGTGTGCTATTGAAGACCCAGGAATCCCGCAACCGGCCAGACATACTACAGGTTTAGGTCAAAGTTTGCGTCAAGCTGACATCACTCACGCCAACATCAGTGAAGTACTGCGAATTTATTTGTACGCGAACGCAACCGGCGAAGTAAAGGCTTTGACAGGGGTGTGCCTTGAGCGTGAGCGTGACAAGAAATTTGCCGATCATCATCAGAACGGCGGTGATTACGCTTCAACCTGCTCGGGAAAGAATGCGCAGTTCTATGAGCACTTACATAACAACGAAACATGGAAGATGTCAGAAAGATTGCGAGACAAGCCTTTCTTAGCATTGAATCCGACGCATAAAGCACAGATGCTCGCTTTTCTTTGCAATGAGTTACTGCAAAATAAGGCTGTGATCAGACAGATAGAGGGTAGCCTCGAGACGGTAGCTCAGCTGAGGAAAGAGAGATTCGTATTAGATACCAAAATCAGAAAGTAAGTTGAAATGAAGAAATAATTGATTAAAAGATTAGATTAACGGAATAATAATATTAAAACTATTTTAAATCTAATAATATTTTTTTATTAAAAATAATTTATGATAGAGAAGCTACATTAAATTAAAGGGAACCATTACATATTAAATTATGCTTTTTCCTATCAGATCTATGTTTTGATAACATTGTCATTGTTTATACAGGCTTAGACAATTACATAGTCGAAAAGTCCGAATGGAAGCCGTGGGTGTCATTGTTAATAAGATTGGCGACACGATCACCATTGAAAAGAAGGAAGGTGAGGAAGAAGGCAATACTACGTCTACTGCCGTAGGTACGACACCTACACCAGACGAGATTCATCACGAGGACGAAGTAGAGGACATGTCTGAAAACGAGAGTGAAGGCACTCAGCCAGAAGAGGTATACTTTAGAATATTGATTTAATCTTAAGTTAATTTGGAGATTTAATTGATACTTAAAGAAAAATTCTTATTTAGGAGGAGGATAAGAATTTATCTGGAGAAGAATTGGGTAAGAAATTGGATAAACTATTGAAGCAATCAGAGGAACAACTACAAAAGTTGAACAGCTCTTCGAAGCAACTCCGTGCGCACATATTCGGCCAGGACAGGTATTGGAGGAGATATTGGGAATTAGCATGCGCCGGTGGTATTTTCGTGGAAGCTATGGAGAGCGCCGAACCGGAGGTTCTCGACCTCCAAGCCGAGCTCGACGAGAAGTACAAAAACATGCCGATAGAAGAGAAATCTGAAGTGAAGCAAGAGGGTGAAAGCAAGAATTCCGAAAATCGCGAAAATGAAGCACCAAACGAAGTTAAGGCTGAAAAGAAACATAATTCGAGTGAGCAGAATGAGAACATAAAATCTCACGGAGATAAGATGAAGTCCGAGGAGGTCAACTGTAAGAAAGAGCCTGTACAAAATTGCGGCTCGGAGAATGTAAAGGAGGAGAAAAGAAATAATGACGATAGTACAATGGCAGATGCGAAGACAAACGTCACATCCGAGGAAATAAAACAGGAGACGGAGGTGATCAATACAGATGTCGACATGAAAGAAGAAGTGAAAAAGGAGAATGAAGAGACGGACGAAGATATGACGAAACCACTGGTGAAAATGATGGAGGATAAAATTGTCGAAACAATACCGAATGGCGACAAGTTCAACCACGTCAATAATCTACACAACGGGAAAGAACTCAACGGCTCCTTTATTTCCAGTGAGTTTCTATAAATCTTTATTTAGGACAGACTTTTCAACATTTTTAATTAATTAGTTATGTCGATTATTTCAGACAATAGCAATGCCGAGCCTAATTGGTTTTCCATTTTACCGCGTGAAACGTGCGATACTCCAGGACCTAGCACTAAGCAAATCTTTGGCATAGCCGAGCCGACTGAGCTCAGAATTCCAGTGTTCCCACCGCCCGCTAGTCCGAGTTACGATAGATGCGATAGTCCAGCACCTCTGATATTAACTCAAGATGAGGCAGCACAGCTAGAATATTTGAAAGTGCACGGTTTACCACCTCCTGGCGAAGCCAAACCGGTGTCAAAAGGTAAGTCGAATTAATTTGTGAATATTAAAGTAAAAGTATGCCCACGCAAATAATTGTATTTTCCAAGTTTCTAATTATATATTTGTTTTATATAATTAGAATAATATATATGTAACTTTATATAGATCTGAGATATGGTTGGTGGAGGATAACAGACGTTGACACGTTCCAAGAACTTCTCGAGCATCTACACTCCCGCGGTGTCCGCGAGAAAGAGTTAAAACGCACAACATGGGCGACGATGGAATCCTTCTTAGCCGTTACCGGTAAAATTAATGTTGATCCTGGTAACGTTTCCGCCACGGAACTTCAAGCGGAACCAGATGATCCCAATACGCCAATTCCAAAACCCGATAATCCGAATAATTGGGGCGAGCAAGTTGCGCTACGAGTAGATGCTCAACTTTTGGAACAAGTGGAAGCGCTTGAAGATAAAGTGGCTAATGCTAGCATGCAAGTCAAAGGTTGGAAGCTACCGCCGCGAGCGGGAACTGAAGAAGCCGAGGAAATTGAGAAGTTGAATGAAATGGAAAAGATTAGTGCAGTCGAGCAAGCTCGGCAAAGGCTACTTTCTTTGGAGGCAGCTATAGAAAGAAGATACTTAAAACCACCTTTAGGTGTTTGGTAAGATAAATTTTCTATATTATTTTATTGTATATAATAATTATGTCTCGCAATTGTTTCTTCATTCAATAGTAAAAAGAAAAATTATGATTCCGTATCTCGCAAGAAAATTTTATAAAAGTAACAAAATATAAATGATTCTTTTTAAATAAAATTTGTTTAATTAGTGCCTTCTATCATTCATATATAATCATTGTTCAAGCATTCAATTAATATTTAAATTAAATTTGTTGAGCAAGAGGTTTACATTTTAATTATATTTTAATTTGATGTTGGTAATTTTATAGCACGGGAGATCCCAATTTGGCAGCCCTCAAGGCGGAACAAGCAGCAGCCGCTAACGCAAACTCGAATAATTCTGAGCAAAATAACCAGACGCCTGCACCGCCAGAAGAAACGACACCACGGGGTCTGAACACCTGGCGGGAGGCGACGGCACGAGCGCACACGTCGGCGCAACTCGCTATGGCACTCTACATGCTCGAGGCTAGCATCGCTTGGGACAAGAGCATCATGAAGGCTGTGAGTCTAACAACAGCTAGAAACTCGGTCTGCGCCAAGCTACGAAACCGCTGCGTCTCACTCAAAGCTACCAATCAGTACAAACAGCTATTGACTACTTCTCAGACCTCTGTGGGTATTCGCACTAACTTACTAACCGAATCGTCCTTTACTACCTCTGCTCCCGATACCTTTGTCCTTTCCGTTGAATGGCTTACAGAGAACGTACGTCGCCTCGAATGGATATCGACAGGTGTCTACTCGATCCGATGACCAGAGCCTTAACGATCGTTTCTCACGACAGTATTTTTACAATACGTCCGTTTCCAATCTCATTCTCTAAAATTCTGTATATCACATGTGCGAACAATATGGCAATGAAATTTGCATACATCCGTTGGATTTCGCTCTGTTCGCGCGATACCTGAACACACTTGTTCCACTTGTATTTATTTATATGGATGCCGTAGATATATTATAAATAAACACGCGTCCATCGATGATGTCCATAAATTACTGAATATTGGAACACATAATGTCTATATATATAAACCATAACGAAAATATACGTTAAGAATGTACATTCAATGGTGGTCAGAGTCTAACGTAACGGTTGCATGCAAAACTGCCGCTTACTGTTTGTTTGTTTTTTTGATAAACAATTTATTTTTTAACTTTTATGTTCGCATAGTTCTAGTTCGCTTTTTCACATTCTAGTGCGTTCAGAAAAATTCCATTGTCGTCATCATGATTGATTTACTGTTGCTTACGTTTGTATTATTGCACGCATTTAAGTTATATTTATTATAATATGAGTGCATACAGCATAGATTTTGTGATTCATCTTGTGATAACCAAAATTATCTTTGTCTTATTATTTTATGAATATTTATTTAGATTAAATTGATACTAAATTATTTTGGATTTGATTTATTATACATAGATTTTATTTAGCTTATAATTAGCTTTTATTTTTGCGTAATTTTTAATTGTGTTTTTGCGCTTTATTAATTGAATACATATATTGTCTATACTTATCTAGAGCTTTGTTATTGCTTTAAAAATTATTTTAAGTGCTCAACTAACAAACTGCTATAATCTTCATGCTATTTTAGCCATCAATGATTAACTCTTCCGTTTTCTTTTAAATGAAATGAGAAGTTTATTTATTTTGGTTGCAGAATTGCCAGTTTTGTCATAGTGGAGACAACGAAGATAAGCTGCTGCTCTGTGATGGCTGTGACCGTGGCTACCATACTTATTGTTTCCGTCCAAAAATGGAAAACATTCCTGATGGTGACTGGTGAGTAACGCTTATGCGTATTATATTCTTGTCTAGTTCTATTTGAAGCAAAGAGTTTTAAATATTTCTTGTTACTTCCAGGTATTGTCACGAATGTATGAACAAAGCAACAGGTGAACGCAATTGTTTAGTGTGTGGAAAGAGAGCGGGTAAAAATCTGGTCCTATGCGAACTCTGTCCTAGGGCTTATCACACTGACTGCCACAATCCTGTCATGCCAAAAGTAAGTAATTATCAAAATATGTCTCTGTAAATACTTCAAGATCTCATTATTTAATTAAATCAAACACGTACTGCAAATATAAATTTTGTACATAATATATTTTGCTTACAGATGCCACGAGGGAAATGGTATTGCTCTAATTGCCACAGTAAACAACCAAAGAAGAGAAATAGTAGTCGAAGGAGTCATACCAAAGGGGGAGGCACCAGAGAAAGTGAAAGTTCTGATCATCCACCAGCTAGGTGATTACGTTAAAAACAAACAAACATTGTCAAGTTGCTGGCTTAATGACGTTTCATGCGAAATATATTAGAAAACAGCTATAATGAACGATTTGATAATATTCATCGCAACCGCAAATGGCGGACAAGTATTATTCCCGATTGAATAAAGTAATCTCAATACGAATCTAACTCTGTATACGAAAACTATCTGTATACACTGTACTCATGCGTTTACCTACTTAATCCTCGGCCCGTGTCGTAATACCGCCGAGAATTTTTGTCGTCTCGAGGAACTTTTCCTTTCATGCAGGGTGTTCTATGAGAAGCTAGATCTAATTTTTCATTCTTTGAAGGTGATTGTAACTAATAGATTTTCCCGAGTGATTTCCGTTTCTTCAGTGTCTTATCCCAAGTTTCTACGGGACACCCTGTACATTCATGATACATCGTTGTTGTCTAGTGTATTTGCGATCGCCGACTGTGAAATAGATATTTTCTCAGAAATATTCATCGTAACAGTAGAGCCGCCTTCAGGTCGTGTATGATGAGTCGGAAATAAAAACGAGAGAGCGCAAGAGGGCGAAAAATAGAACGGAAAAAGTAATAGAACGAAGTAGAGAACGAACGAGAGACAGAGAGTCAGAGAGAAACGCAAATAATTCATCGGGAGCAGCGTACCCGTCTCAGCCGGACACACGATCGAATCTTATGCAATTCGTCCTTGCGCATTCGTCCAGAGGCTTTTATGACGGGAAACCTCCTGCAGAACGGAAGCTAATCGTGCAAATAATTTCTCTGTTGTTTTGCGCCGCAGTCCAACGCCATCAACGGCATCGAACACGCACGTAGAGGATGTCAGTTCGTCGGAACCGCCGACTCCTACCGCCTCACCACGGAAGGAGGGTAACAATCGGACGCTCACGAAGAAGCAACAACGAGAGCTGGCGCCTTGTAAGATACTCCTCGAACAGTTGGAGCAACAGGACGAGGCCTGGCCGTTCCTCCTGCCGGTGAACACCAAACAGTTCCCGACCTACAAGAAAATCATAAAAACCCCCATGGATCTCAGTACGATTAAGAAGAAGTTGCAGGACTCCGCGTAAGTTGTCCAATACGCGCCAGCGATTAGTTAAGTGAACGTACTATCTTTAGCTGCCTTTCCTCTCAAAAACTCTTGGTCTTTAAAACAGGCCTAATAGATCTAACATACACACACATATAGACTGATCGCAAAAAAAAACCCTATTGACCGATCGTCAACCTTGGTCGGCATTGGAAGGCTGAAGTTTTTCACAACGAGTGCTTCTCGATGCAGGTACAAGTCTCGCGATGAGTTTTGCGCCGATGTCAGGCAGATGTTCATCAACTGCGAGGTATTCAACGAGGATGACAGTCCTGTGGGCAAGGCCGGCCACGGGATGCGCAGTTTCTTCGAAATGCGCTGGACCGAGATCACCGGCGCGCCGCCTCCACATCCACAAACACATAGCTGAGGTTCGGTACGTTCGCGCAACACCTGCAACAGCTTCGCTCACTTCTACTATTAGGATATGCGTCGCGTCACCGACAGTCGTCGAAAGGGACTGATCCACCCTCTACCACTTCACTTCCAAGCATTAATCGGCCTCGTTCTAGCGGCCAATCGAATTTTCCATTGTAATAGTAATTGCTGTGAACGCGGGTACACACTCGCCTTATTGTATCATCCATTCTCGCTGTTCATCACTTACGCGAGTGCGTTTTTCTCGCGTTTCATAAAATGCTCTAGTACTTGGGTATACTGTGACACGAATGTCTCGTACTTCATTTCCTTGTTAGCACCTATGACGCGATTTTCGTCAAACTTACTCATTGTTAAGTATTATAGCGAGACGTTCTAAGCCGATCGGATATTCGGCTTCGGTTTAACGAATATTGGTAAAAGTGCGACAAGTATTGCACTTAAGGTCGAGATTTTGGTCTCCGATAACAAGCATTTCTCGACATCGACGTGATTATTCAGCTAGAAGCATGCGCGCATCGTTTCGATCTTTGTCGATTAGGACGGAGCGATACGAATGGTCATTGTACTTACCGAAACAAGTGAACATTTGCCTAAGCGACAAAAGTGTAATTTGCGATTGTATTATACGGGCTTAACGCCGACGTATCGTCGGCAAAAGAAATATTTTGCAAAGTAATAAATGTGAAAAAGAGAGAAGTTATATATGTATATATAAATATATAAATATGAATATGAATATAGTGTATATGTATACAGAATCTATATACATATATTGTACACATGTCACAACATACATACATGCAAGCGTATATTTGCCCACGGATAAGCACGATAAGGGTATTATTCGCTGTAGAAGTAGAATAGACAAAACGATGAACGAAGTTAATGTTTCGATTTGTAATATGACAATCTAGATAGTTAGAATAAAATTATTATTAATTTATAATAATTACTACGATATTAAATCAATAATAATTATAAAAAAAAAACTTTATTCGTTCTCTTTGCAAAGATGATCGAACAGCACTTATGTCCAATGAGAAGAATAAAGTTTTTTTATAATGCAAGTAAAACTTATTCCCGACTATCTGAATTATCTTATTACAAATTGAAGAAAAGATCTTAACACCGTTTCGCAGAACCAATTTACGTTCTTTGCATTTAGCGTCAGATTTTGTTAACTTGTGAATTACATGACAAAAGATGCATGATGTATGCAGAATGAAACTATTCGTAACATAACGAAGAGAGAAAATATTCATATTTTAACACATCAGTATTTTAAGACAAGGATATACTGTGACTATTGTTGACTGTGTTGTATTGATTCGCGGATATTAAAAATCTGTCAAATTAATAAGTATAGGATCTACTATTGTAACTGCTGTTACTTTTGTAAAAGAAGAATGTTAGACGGTTATTGTAATGTAGTCAATGATTATTCCCTATTAATTAACTACATGTCGCGTTTTTACGTATTCCATGTTACGAATGATACGTTGAAAACTTTACTCGTAGAAAAAAAAGTATCAAGTTTTTCTAGAATACTCTGTCTGTTTGATTTTATGCAACATGCAATGTCGTTTGGAATAGTATACGTTGCATGTGTAAATCCAAAATCTTCCACTGCCGTTAGAGAGATTCGCATTGTGTTAAGCTCGTCAATCCAATATTTATTATTTAGAGATTATTTTAACTGATTTTGCACGCGGAAATGTCATTTGTTATCCGCAAAAGTGGCAGCATCCATCTAGCTTCCTATTTTTCGTTCATCGAGAGTGTCATAAAAGTTCCGAATCAACGCAACATATACACAACAAAAATTAGACATTCAGGAACAACGTTATCATCATCTGTCAAGCCAATTAGGGCGTTTGAAAATGCGATTAGTATAAAAATGATTCAAATGCAATAAAAATGCATTGCATAACGAGCGCCTTTGAGGGAACGAATTCTTTTTCAGAAGTAACGCGATTGTGTTTTTGTCGTCATTGAAAAGCTAGGTTTTCATAATTACACCGCGCGCGTACATGCGTAGTATTATTATTATAATGTTAAGAATTATATATTTGCAATTTTACCCGCGTCAAACTTGATGACGCGGTGTAACTCGCGTCGGTTTTCTTCCATCAGCGCAGAATTTTCTAAGGACGATTATCTGTGCTCGGTCGTCGAAAGATCTTTCGAAGTATCGTCGCAATGTCGCCGTAGAATAAAATGCGAAGGGATAGTACATCGCTCTGTGAATGATAGATTGTCAAACGGCGGCGAGTTTTTCCGATTAATAAATGTGGTATATTTATAAGTATAACCATCTTACGCGAGACGGTGTCGATGTAACAAGAACACATTAACACTTGTATCTTGTTTTGTAATTGATGTACATTATTGCTCGTAATAGCAAAATAGTTGGTAATAGCGAGAGAAACCCGGAGGAAAGGGAGTTCAACCGTAGTGTAACATGCTAAATGCTTACGGTTTAAGGAAAAAGGAAAAAAAAAACATTCGTAGCGTGTAAAAGTATTAGGTAAAGTATAAATGCCAGCGGAGGAGCGACTACGAAATAAAAAGTAATTAATATCGTTCAGGGTGTGATTGAAACAGAGCGTCGAACGTTGAGCATCGTAATTTAAGAACGAACATCCGGTAAGATCGTTGACGAGATTGCGCGATGATTGTAAATGTAATGATTCCGTGGCGTTTCGAATGCTAAGAAGACAGTAATTGTTAACTTCATTGTTTTTAGAATTTGCTGATGAAAAGAAATTTAAAAGATTTTTTTTTAATTTCAAATACTATGATTTTAAGAATCTACAAATTTAATTATTAGATCATCTATCTCCATGTTTGTACCGCATTTAAATTTGAGACACTCGGCATATTAATTTGCAAAGATAGTGCAGGGCAATTTTATTGTTTTTGTTTTTTTCCTGTTTTGTCCCCGCTTTGTTCTTAATTGCGTGTAATTTTAACTTTTTCAGTAAAAAAAAAAAGAAAAAAAAAAGAAAATCGTTAGCTTTTCGCAACATACAACGAGAGACTGCGATCGATTCATGTATGTACAAGTTTACTGATATAAAGAAAGCGCAGATTGTGGGGCATTTTATCGATCTTACCGATTGTTCTTCGAGAGGCACCGGCCGTGTCATTAGGAGCACTGCGCCTCGCACTGTCATACAATAGCCGATACGTTTAGACATCTCATACATTCAACAACAAAACCGACACACAACAGAAACAAATAATTTTTTAAAATTTAATTATTATTTAAATAGTACAGTTACATTGTTAGTACGAATAACGACGCTTTTTATACGAATTTTTAAATAAATAAATATATATATAGTATATAAAAATGAGAGACAATGGTAATAGTAATAATAATTGATATCGATTAACAGAGCGGATAAAGAGAAACGAAGGAATTGTATGGAAGGAGAGTAAGTGAGTGAGCGCAAGAATGAAAGAAGTAGAGAGAAAGGTAAATGAGAATGCATGTGTGTATGAAAATAAAAAAGAAAGAAGAGAGCGCGATATTTAAGTTAGGTGATTGTTTGTCTATCGTATACACGAAGGCATACGTTAGGTAGCCTCGATGCTATTTAAACAGACTTAATTAATGTATTGCAAATGAATTAATAAAGTGTAAGCGAAGCGTGTATCTATATAGTGCGATTTTTTCTTTTCTGGCAACTTCAATAAAATTCTTGATGAACAGATCTCCTGTAAAAAATTAAGATATACAAGAATAGGCTGAACCTCTTCCTATAAAAAAAAACTCAGAATGCTTTTGCAAATTTTATAGATATATTCTTATATCGATGGACCTGGATATCGATAGAAATTTTATTAAACTTTCTTAATTTAGACATTTTCGTCTATAAATTAAAATCATGTCAAAGAGAGATTGACATAGTTTTCTAAAAATGACATTAAATTATTGTAATATTTTATTTTTCTAGATTTACTTGATTCCTAATAACATACGTCAAAATTCAGGAGACACTAATATATTAGTAACAATTAATATTATATACAGGATGTTTACTACCTGAAGAAAACTTGAAAAATCGAAAACTTTTAAAGAATTTCTATTTTTACTTTTGAAACAAAAATTAAGGATTTTCATGGAATTGTATTCATATTTAGAGAAGTTTTTTGAATTTTACTTTTAAATTTTAATTCTATCTATTTCTGAAAACATTTCTTTAATCATTTTTTCTTGATAATGCAAAATGTTGATAACTGATAACTTGATAATAATAATAAGTATAATATACACATCCGTATATATTCACGTTTACATGTACATTCTTGCGAGTTTTTTTCACCGTGCAAGACGCGTGCAAAATTCGAATTTGCCGCCGCGGCGCAAGCGTGATGCCGATTATGCAGCGAAGCTAACTTCAGAATGGATTATACGACGATAAACCGAGCAAACACAGGCTGACAGGCAAACAGCAAGGACGTCAAGGACTAGACGCTCGACTTCGACCTTCGTTCGCGACGGTGAATTACGTGTACAGGTGTACACAAGTAATAAAGTACGGTATTCGATCGCCGCATGGCTCGTGCCGGCGAGAGGGGATCGGTTACGCACCCATTAATCAATTGCCCCACGGAGCGGCTCATCATTCGAGAAGACTCGGTATTGCCCACGTGAACATCTCGCTCATCATGCGATGACGGTTTTCAACTACCTTTGTAGAACTGCCAGTGAGTATGATAATTCACAGATCACATGTGTATCAAGTATTCGCTAAATGATTCCTCGTGCAATTTTATTGTATTTCATATCGTTCATATCGTTGTATTTCATATCGCACTCAGTTATACATTGAGGCAGTGACAAGAGATACGATTAGAAGAATAGAGATTGAAATTTGGGACAAGCATCGTAGATCGATCATTTTTCTGCTGAACTTTTTATTATCTCATTTTTGTCCTCTTCTGCTAGCAGTAAAACTGAAATGTATACAAACTTAAATGTACTATCTCGATTCAAGTGCGGAAAGTGCAGCCTAATGTCATCGTTTATTTCGCACAACACAATGTGTGCTTTCTATTTCGTAACACGAGTGTTCTATCTTTGTTACTCACCGGATATCACGAAAGATAGGATGATGTTTGTGTTGACCTGTGTCACTAAATAAAAAGCACTCGATGATTTTTGCACGCTCACGATATTATGATAATAATATCGACATAACCTTTCCGAAAAAGAATAACCATTTATATTTAGACCATTTATATTTACTTACATTTAAATTTATTTAGGACATAGTCCTAAACATTTAAATGCTATTTACTATAACACATATAATGGAAGAAAGAGCACATTTTTATGACATTTTTCTTATGACAGCCCTTGATTCTTGTAATTAAATCTGTTCGCGTTACTTGAAATTCCCGAAAAATGTTTGCACTTAAAATAAGATAAATTATATATAATATATTCAGACGTTGAAAAAAAAGAAAACAAAGATGCTAAATATAAAAAAAACAACGCAAACAGACCTACTGTTTTTATCGCATGATTAAGCAATTCATATTTTGATTAATACCATTAAATCAAAGACAATTGTTAAAAAAACACTATCATATCATGTGTATATTTAATATAATTACGGTTCTTAAAGAAAATAAAAAACAAACTTGAAAATTTTAAGGTTTATTTTCCTATATGTTTTCAAACCATAAAGTAAAGGATATTTAAAAATAAAGAGTGAATTGAGTTTTGAAGAAACAAATCTAAAAGATAGCTATCTAAAATAAAGGACATATGGTCACAAATATAATGCATTTATTTTAAAATACATCTTTAATAAAGTACATCTTTAAAAACATGTTTTGGAATTGGTTCCATCTTTTGATAAATTTTACCTGTTGGGTAAGTAGCAAGATTATCCAATCATATGCATGCATTGCCAAATTTACCTCACAGGTAAAATTTACCAAAAAATGAAACAATCGGCCCATAAGCCCGACACAATATATAGTTACCTAAAGATTAAAGGTAACCAAGAAATTTATAAATTAATTTCATTAATGAATCTGTTGGTAACCTTTAATCTTTAGGTAACTATATATTGTAAAAACGGATCTTAATGTTTTTTTACGTTTTCATATATTTGTAAAATAAAACAAACAGTTATACATTCATATGAATTATTAATTTAATTTATTTATGTAAATTAAACAATACACGTAATGTTTTTATCAAATGATTAATTTAATTTTACATTGTATTGATGATTTTAAAGGAAAACTGTGAATACATGAACTGAAAAGTTCAGTTCAAGTTTCAAAATTTCAAAGTTTTATTAATTAGTAATTAATTAAATTATAATTGATTAAAATTGATAAAAATATATTTCAGAAACAGCCTTTACCATTTTCATTTTATTATGAATAAAAAAACATGAAAATACATGAAATTAATAATTGGTATCTGATTATACATAATTTCTTTTTAGGAACGCTGCAGCTTTTACAGTTTCCTACTCATGTGCAAAGAAGTCTGCGCATTTTCTTTCGAAATGAATCTAGTTTTGTGCCTAAGAAGATACTTATTGTGGCAAAATTGTCCCGATATCATTTCGAAAGATTACAAGAACCCGATCTCAGCGAGGCCCAGCTGAAGATGAAATTGATAGAAAGAGGTTCAGATTATGATAATATGTTCGCCAGCCACTTGGCTAACAAAGCTATAGAAAATCAAGTTATTCACCTTTTGGAAAAGATGAATGTGGAATATAAGATAGTAGATAGGTGAGTTCAAATCTTTTTGGTAAAAAAATTATAATTAAAAAAGTATAATTGGAAAATAGCAAAATTCAATTTCTTAAATTTATGATAAAGTTGGAAAAAATCATACGTTTAGAGTTGGATATTTTACAGGAAGATGAAATGGAAAAGTGAAAAATTTAATCTTTCCAATTATACGGGATGCTTTGTTTATTAAGTAAATTAACGTACATGTCCAATCACATTGATTCTCAATTCACTTTTCTTTATCGCTTTCTACTAACGTTTGACCTTTCTTTTAGAGAGCCTGTTATGATATTCTGTATTTACAACAAAAGTAGTAGTGTAGCGACAATATAATCGCCACATGTGTACTAACTTTAATAAACTCAATAAACAAATCCAATTTCGTATGTCAAAATTAAAATATTAGTCATTAAACGTTTATCACGAAATAAAGATTATCATGAAATAGAAGATGTATTGTATTTTTTCAGAACAAGTTTAGACCATTCGCTTTTTACATGGGCAGATTTGGTGCTGCCAATTGGCGGTGACGGAACGTTTCTCCTAGCCTCGAATTTAGTATTTAACAATAAAAAACCTATAATAGGTATTAATTCCTATCCTAAAAAGTCGGAAGGCTATCTTTTATTATCAGCGAAATATACGAAAAACATAACAGAAATTTTCGAAATGCTAAGAGCAGGACACTACAGTATACTCATGCGAAGAAGAATTCGGATCACTTTAAAGGGAGAAGACATATGGCAAGCTCCATTTCATATGCATGAGAAAGGACGCATCGTTGGCACTGAAAGGCACGTTATATTAATACTATAAATTATTATAACTAATTTATATTTGTTAAATCATAATAGTCGATTTTTAAATTTATATCTATTATTACTGTTTCTTTACTGCAAACCCAATTGTTTAATTATTTTATTATGTATTTTGTAGGTTTTATGCGAACGAAAGGTTCGAAAACAAGCACAGTTTACCAAAAGAAAGGCGTCTACCTTGGTTAGCGCTTAATGAAGTGAGTTTGTTAATGCTCCTCGATGCATGTATAAATATTAGAAGTCGGATGACTTGCTCTTTTATGCATATCTCAGGCCTGGTTTTTGTCGCTAGGTTTTCATGGGTGAAATATTATCGGCACGGACGAGTTCCTTATTTATAAAGTTCGATGAAGAACAAGAGTATCACAAAATAAAAGGCTCCGGTTTGTGCGTGAGCACTGGAACAGGATCAACATCTTGGCATAAATCTATACACAGTTTAAATCATCAAACCGTACGAGAAATATTAAATCTCATAGATATTGAACGGCCATTCACTAATGAAGAAATTGATATGATTTGTTCAACGTTCAATAGCAGCTTACGGTTTGACGCAGGTCAGTACGTGCGATATGTGAATAATAAAAAAAAATACGATATCGATATGATGCTATTTTTATTTACAGGGGATTCCAAACTGTGTTATTCTATAAGAGATATGATAATGACCAATGCAATACCCGTTTCGAAAGACGTCCACACTCGTGGTTTCTGTAGAAAGGCTATTGTGAAATCACAGTGCTTCGATGCGGGTTTGGTTCTGGATGGTGGAATAGCAGTCCCCTTCAACTTCGGCACCATTGCGGAAATAGAGACTTTTCCTGAAGATTCCTTACGAACTATCGTTCTTCTTGATTAAATTAATAGATTAGCTATTCAAATAACATTTATGATAACACAAATACGAAATTTTATAATATAAATATTCCCATATTCTTTATTAAAATTAATTTCTATGGATAAAAACATTTAGGATACAACACGTAAATATTTAGTGACAACAAATATTCAGAAGTTATTGAAATGCTATATATTTAATATATATCTATACAATATATATCTAGTATATATGTATACTACTATATATCTAGTAATCAAATTCAGGCATTAACGGAACTTTTCGGAATAAGAAAAAACAAACTAATTTAAAAAAAATTTTATCATAACTATATTTTTTAAAACTTATATCGATCATTATGTATAGTCTTACAAATATGTAACATGTATTTAAGATTTAATATATGACATCACATATTATTACTATATAATTTAATACCTAAAAATATTTATACCTACACAAATATCAAATATCAAATATCTGCTTATCAGTCTGAACTATATTGTTATTGTTTTTTATATACATTTAGAATATTTTAGCTCATAAATATAAATAATTAAAAGTTTTATATATATATATTAATGTATCTGTTTATTCAGTTAAAAAACTTAATGTATTTTATGATAAGTCTTATTGTACATTTTAGAGGATATGTTTATATATTTTATAATATATTTAACAATTTTTCAAAAATTTCAAATGTGCAAATGCCAAATTTTTGATAAAATATAGTATTCTAATAACTTTTACTAATATATATTTATTATATCTTTTTATGATAAAACAATTAATTTTAAATTTGGAAACAATCGGAATGTTATTTTCTTAATCGTACGGTTTCTAAGGTTGCTCTTGTAATATTCCATTTGTATTCTCTGAAACTGAGGAAATATTATATAACTTCTAGTTATTGAATGCTTTTGATGACAAGTATCGTTCTATCTTTCATTCAATGAAATATAAAAAAAGATAAAACGATGTTTGTGTCGACTTGTATCACTAAATGAAAAAAACATTAATTTTTTTATCCAATATTTACAGTTGAATTATATTACACTTTCTGCACTTAGAACAAGATCGAATATTGAAAAAAGAAAGAAAAAAGATAAAAAGTACAAGGTTCAATCATAAAGCCGGTTCTACATTAGTTGCAAGCCGATTGCAAGTTTGTTGCGACAGCCAATCTGAAGTTTGCATTTTGAAATCAACGCTTCATATTGGCTATCGCAACAAATTTGTGATCGGCTTACAACTAATGTAGAACCGACTTAAGGAATAAATGCAATCGTATGAAGTTGTACACGTTTGACAACACAGCTTAGCGGCGACTCCGACTTCAGGCGTGACTAAACATCACTTTGTACTCTCTTGTTTATACTTGGTGATTCGATACGGTGGTGCAAACGAATGATTTTCTCGTTATCACGTAACGGCATGCGATGCGATGCATGTGCATGACATTGTTTCATCGATAAACAATTCAACTACCTGGCCGTATCTATGAGAGCTCCCGGTCGCAAAACGGTAAGGAAAGAAAAATATTTCAAACGGAAACGCTGAAGGTCGAAGCATGACGTGAATGTACTTCTGTTCGTGATGCGAATATCTCTCGAGAACCCGCAAACTTCGCTTTTTCGACGATTTTTCAAGTTCGGTTATCCGCGTCACGGCGATAAAGTAAACAATAGTTTTCACGATTTTGAGGTTAGGACGTCGCATTAATTCCTATGACAGAGTCGCGCCGAATGGAATGTTCCTCCTGAATCTCTTTCTTCGGGAGAGATTTGTGCCAAAACAATTTCAAAACTATATTTCATAATTAATATCTTTGTATACCATGATTTTGATGTTAAGTATCACAAAGAAGAAATGATAGCATATAACAATAGTGCGTTCCGTATTAATCTACAACGATATGTTATCAGATTGACACACTCTTGATTTAGCCTACGAAATTGTATATGAAAGAGCACATTGTATGTGTAATGATGTATATACTTGTGTGGTTCATTTTAATCAGTCCACATTAAAATATCTTAAAATCTTTAAAAGTTTAAGACAAAAGTTGCTTAGTTATAGAGAAAAAAATGTTAACTTTGGTTTACGTTAAGAGAATTTAAGATCAGATCAAGGACATCTCAAATTTATTACATTATAATCCTCATTTTTCTGATTCATATAGCTGATTTTAAGATTTTTTCAAAACACTATAATAAACTATTTTTTTCTTCTTAAGTTTACATGTCGACGTTTAATCTATTTTAAGAAATTAAGTTTAAGACGAAGAGAAAATGATAATCTTGGTTGACTTTGACACACAGTCCTTGAGTTCAGCTTGAAATCATCTTGAATTTTTAAAATTTCTTTTTCATTTTATACTATTTTAAATACATTTTTTATTGTGTCCCATCATGAAACCGAAATTCACGTTAAAGCATTCCAAAAAGAACAGAAAACTACTACGTCCATGTATTCTTAGGCCACTGTTTTCTTTCCCCATAGTAACTGAGCAATTTTTGTCTAAAATATTCTTTTTTTAAACTTAAGTATTTTTAGATATTCTATTCTAGTGAATCGATTAAAATAAACCAATCTGTATATATATTATAAGGCTAAAGCTAAAACCATTGCATTTTATGAACTGTGATCCTGTAAACATATCAGTAGATCACATAGGCTTATTCTTTTTAACTGAATTTCTTGTACGATTCGAATTTATTGCACTGTTAATATCAAAATAATGAATTTGATATTATTTTTCAAGATTGTATTATTGTATAATTATAATAATCTTATACAAGAAAATATTTAAATCACCGTCGCTTTTATTCATGCATACAATAATGTATTTATCTTACGTAACAGTAACTAATAAGAAGAAAAAATAGATTACTAATTGATAAAGTATTACACAATCCAGTATATGTAATATTTTATCAATTAGTAATTTATTTTTTCTTCTTCCAGCATATAATACTTTATTTTTAACATCATTCTTATAATAGCATTTATTTCTTGCGAAACATAAATATTCATATATCAAATCTATAATAAATTCTAATTTTGGAAGAAGAAATAAGGCAGGAAAAATATAAAACATAAAAATTACGAAAAACTAAAACGAATAGTCATGCTGTTATTACTACTATTTCTTCTACAAATTTGCACATGCTTACTATGATCCATTTTCTTAAAGGTCGACGTTACGACGACGACATTAAAAGTACATCGAAAGGATGGCAGAAGATGAGAGGCAAATTAGAATGGCCGCTGAAGCTATATTAAGTGGCTCAATCAACTCTCAGAGAAGTTCGGTTACTCAGCACAGTATAACACGAACGCCGGATATCGTTCTCAGCGAGGATCTGATCGCAGGAGCGAGACACAACGGCAAGATGTCAAATGTCAGGCGTTTCTTTTGCCTCTTCGTCACCTTTGATCTTCTTTTTACATTCCTTATGTGGCTCATTTGCACAATGGTACAAGAACATTACCTGATCATTTAATGAAATTAGATTGAAAACTTGATTTTATTAAAGATGTAATTTTTTATTTTGGTAATATATACAACTCGTTTGCTTTTGTCTGTTGCTCGCGATGGAGACATTTCACCAAAAATATATATATACTTTTTTAAATCAAAATTTACAGTTGCTTATTATATTTACAGATTGCAGGTGAAAGTTTACGTACAGCTTTCACAGATCAGGTGATACATTATCATATAAAAACGTCTTTGTTTGATATTGTGGTGAGTATATTTTGTCATTCGTTACTAACTAGTTTAAGAACAGAATGACGACAATGACATTCAGTTCGTCATCATTTTTCATTATTCATTGGGGGAGCAGAGATTTTATGGATTTCATCTTCTCAGATGGCAGCGATTTGCAGGTTCACGGTCTTATTGCTCTTTTATGCGCTACTGTATTTAAATCACTGGATCATTGTAGCTGTAAGTATGTTTGTTAATTGAACCTTTTCGCGAAAAAGAAAAATTTATTTATAATGAATGTGTAAACAACAAAACAAAGAATACATTTTTTTTAACAATTAATATAATAATAATTTTGAACTTGTATTTTACAGATATCAACTGCCACAACATGTGCCTTTTTGATTGCCAAAGTTTTTCTTTTTGATGTAAGTGTCTTTGAAATACTTATTTATTATCTTTATTATTATCTTTTTTTATTTAATTCATTTAACATTTTGTGATTTCAGTGGACATCAGCTAATCAACCAGTATTCCAAGTTCTGCTGATCTTGACATCTTTTGTATTAGCATGGGCAGAAGCTTGGTTCTTTGATTTTCGTGTGATACCTCAGGAAACTCAAGCAAGAAATTGGATTCTTAGTAAGCGGTCTCTTTCTGTTTTTCTCTCAGTAGTGTAAATATTTTTTTGTTTTTACTGTACTGTTGTTAACAAGTAATACGATATGAGAAATAACAATGTAAACCCGAACATTTATATACACAAATATTTACAAAAATACTAGTTTAATAACATGATATATGAAGTAGAAAGTATTGCATTTTGATATTAAATCTTGATTTTCGCAAATTAATTTAAAAATATGAAAAAATATCGACGAAATTATGAAATTTACAGATTTTCCGGATACAGAAAGGACTCCGTTATTACAAGGCATTATGACAGAATCACGGCAATATGCTGCAAATGTTGATCACATGAGTACATTTTTCACACCTGTGGAATCTCCGACTCATTCTGATGATGAGGACATCCCCAGAAAGCAAGGAGACTTGAAACTCTCAAAATCCAGTGAATTATTTAGATTCCTAGCGAAACTTACACCTGATAAGGTTAGTGAAATTATGTTTTTGTTCTCGCATTAATTGATAATTAATTCGTAAGTATTAAAAGGAAAAAAAACATAATAATATATATGTCTTTGCCATATATGAATTTTGACTTTAATTAATGCAGTTAAATGCGATAGTAGTTAGCAAATATTATGATTTATAATAGCTCTTAGGATATTTGATAATTTATTTTTATAATCTAAAAATTATTAAATATCCCAAAAGTTATTGAGTCATTAAAATACTCGTTGATATGAACTATTAGGTGTTGGAATTAATTCGTAGCGTTTTTAATGAAAGAATGTTATTTATTTCACATGAGCATTAAAAAATACATTAATGAAAGTACTTCCCATCACTTGTAAAACGCTACGAATTAATTCCAACACCTAATAATATGTATTGATATATATATATATACAAATATATATGTAATTAATATCGAATCCATTTCTATGTCTACGATAGTAATTCTTAATAAATATATTTTTAAACATGCAATGATAACTGAAATTGATGAGGGATACAGAAAGAGAAGGCAGCAGAGAATACCATGGAAATAACGAAATACAAAGGGGTGGTCAAGAAACATACTATCTTTAGTTGATTATTCGTATGAAGTAATTAGATGAATGACTTGTGTTTAATCATTTTTCTTTTGTACTTTGTCAAATTAAATTTTAATCTGTAAATTTTATTGGACTAATTGTGATTTACATTATATTTTTAATGGTTATTTTATTTATACTACATGTGTTCTATCAAGCGCATCAAACTATAATCAAATAATAATACATTCGTCAGTTATATTTTTGCGAGTGCAACAAATTAGTCGTGTTATTTATCGTCCACGTAATAATGAGTCGTAAACTCAAACATACTTAAACTTTTATCTATATTTTTTTTATAATTACCATGCTAATGCGTTATTTCTTTAAATCACTATAAACATGTGTATAATATTTTCATTCCACAATACATTTTTAGAAATATTTTCTTTGAATTTCTAGGTATTAATTAAAGAGTATATTATGTGCTTTTTTTTAGATTGATGAATATAAAATGAAGACATCTAAGATGTTACAAGATTGTCACGACTTGTTAACATCGAAAGAATGGAAAGACACAAGTATAACAAGCGATGGTGATGAAATGTCATGCATGCAACTCCCATCAGAATGGAAATTAGATGGAAAGGTCATGAAAATAATGGTAAATTGCATAAATTGAATATAGCGTAAATTGAAAATATGTAAATTTAAAAAATGCAGACTTTTTCGGTAATAAAAAAATGTTCTTATTTTATAAAATTTAATAATTATTTAAGGGTATCATCGATGCACCTGCTAGCATACTCATAGATTTATTGTTTGATGGTGTCGAGGAACAAGTTTCGTGGAACAAACTCGTGACAGAATCAATAAAACTACAGGTTAGTAAAATTTTTTGTTGTTTCTTTTTTCTTACTATAATGCTTTATCATATCGATAACAAAATTTATTTTAAATAGTATATTGACGAAAATACGGATATTGTTTACCAAGCAACAAGTCCTTTTGGCGGCGGGATTATTACAGCGCGAGATTTTGTTATTTTAAGGCATCGTAAGAAATATGGCAATTATTATATCACTAGCGGTGTATCGATTCCTACCGCGTCAGTTGAAGTTCGCCCAAACATGACAAGGTGAGAGCCCGAAACAAATTATATTTTAACATATAAGAAAAAAAGAGTAAAGAAACAAGAAAAGATTGACTGTATTACTTTAAATATTTTTTTAAGGGGTGAAAATGGTATAAGCTGTTTCGCAACAGAAGAGTTACCTGACGAAGTTAGTAAATGTCGTTTTACTTGGATCCTAAATACAAATTTTAAAGGCTGGATACCACAAACTGTTGTAGATAAATCTTTGTCCACTGGTCTAGTAAACTTCATGACATATTTAAGGGAACATTTGAATGATATGCAACAATCGTCAATCTAGTACAGTGTTACTCATAAAGTTGATAAGTTGAATTATCTTTTTTTATGTACTATGTTAGATCTATGTATTTTTTTATCCAATATCTATTGACGTATATACATAATACGTATATGCATACAAAAAAAGAATATTATAATTCACATAATTGTGGACTTGACAGAGAGTATATTTTTAAATGAAAGGCATTTTTTAACACTAGAATCGCTGATGTCCCGTTAAAACTGCCGAAGGTGTCAATTTGGTAATTTTCTACCTTTTCGGTTAGCGAAAAGTTATTTAAATATTGTTTGTATCGTTAGAATTATTTGTATAATATTCACATACTTTCAATAATGGCTGTGTTTAGCATAAAAAGCTTTGCAATAGTTATAAAATTCTTGATACGATTGATTTATACATTCAAATCCAGTGAGGAACTAAGAGCAAGACCAATCATGTTAAAAAATTTTACAACAGTTGCAAAACTTTTCTGCTGAATGTAGTCATTCTGTATTATAATATATTATATAATATACCAGCTTGATCAAAAAGTTTCCGGAAGAGACCACCAGGTGATGCTCTGAGTCAGCTGATTTGAGTTCTTTTTTTTGGCTAGGTTGCCACATCTATCATTGACATTTCCATCAAATTTTATCGCCATAGCTTGACATTTGTAAAAATTACGCCGTCTTGAGTACATCTACCTCTGCGCGTGTTTTCGATTTTTTACAGTTTTAAAAATGGAGTTGAATTTGCAACAACGAGTTTGCAACAACGAATACCAACCAACAGCCATCGAATTCACCCGATATGGCTCCCTGCGATTTTTTTCTGTTCGATCGAGTCAAAAAACCTGCGGGGAACGCGTTTTACACAGTCGAAAAGAGATAATGGAAAAATCGAAGACGGCTCTGATGGCTACCAATAATAGAGTTCCAGAAATGTTTCGAGAGCTGGATCAAGCGCTGGCATAAGTGCGTTGCAGTCGCTGGAGAGTACTTTGAAGGGGACAATATCACTTTTGATGAATAAACTTGTATTTTGAATTTTCTGAATGAATTCCGGAAACTTTTTGATCAAGCTAGTATTATATACAAAAAGAAATTTGAAATGATTAGCGGAGTCAAAAGGACATCATCGATTGTGTTAAAACATTTTTTGTTTGAATACGAATAATTCTCAAGTGTGAATAACATTTAAGACATTTATTTACTAGCGAAGAGTTTACGATTGAAGTCACAGATGCATGATAGGCGTAATTTTACGATTTATATAAACATAAGTATGTTCCAATTATATTTATAATAGGAATTATTCTCATCAATTTTTAAAATGTAAGAATTTTATCGATGTCGATACATAAATAGTATCCATACTTCTCACAGTTTTGTTTAAAAAATTGTACGCTATATTTTTTCTCACAAAATTATTTCTAACTGCAATCGACAAACAAGAAAGGAACATACTACTTTATTCTAATCATTTTTTTTCTATGAAATATGTCGCATAGTAGTTAAGAATCATACGCATATATTATGTGCTTTTTGTAAGTGCCTATGAATGTTCGGTTAAGCGCATCTTTTGACATACAATGTATATAGTATATCACAAATGTGTGTTTAACACGTGTGATGGTATCTATCATGCGTCTATCACATTTCATGCAAAAATAAAGTCGTGATATTAAAAAAGTTACATAGAAATATATTACTAATTTTTTTTTCTTTTTTTTTATCTATTTGTTTTTATGTTATTTCCGATTCGTTAACGCGTGCGCGTGCATTTTTCTTTGCTTCCTTCAATTACATAAATCATAAAATTTAATGTATTGATATTGATTTATATAAATGTGCATTTAAGAGAAGCGTGCAGTCATTAAATAATCCTAAGATTGATAGGATTATTATGCGTACGTTATACATTTGATCAATTTCGTATATAATAAGAATAAAGAAACGCACATTATTTTCATTCGTTGAATCGGACATACTTTAATTTTTTTTAATTACAGAAAATGTATATACAATTGCACATTTATTCCTGATAAATTCATTTCATTTAATTAACATGATGTTGGCAATATGAGCGATATCCGCAAGCGTTTAATTGTGCAATTTTGGATGATACACGCTTCCAAGTTTAAGCTTTTTAGAATCTTGCTCTATTTATATTATCTCCGTTTATGTGATCGATATTATGTAATTTTATTGCCTAGTATATGATAATGAGCGTGAAATGTTATGAAATAAATACTTTAATAGGAAGAAATAATGATAGAATAATCTATTAGACAGAAAGGAAATACAATGATAGCATGTTGATCTTTATTAATATTTAAAAAAATAGATTGTTGAAACTAACTAAAACCATTTTTAAAGAAAGATAATTGATTGATTTTGTTGTGAAACAACATGTGCAATTTAAGAAATTATAAGAATGTTTAGATTATATAATTTTATGATTTGTTGAGAAAAAAAGAGAGAAAGAGAGGGAGAGAAATAACTATTATTAATCAAAAGATGAATTTTATTTACTGTATGTGAGTGTGTATAGATATATGAATAAGTATAATTAAATTCTCTTAATGAGAAAATATTATGATAATATTACTTTTAAGCTATTTAATATATAGGGTATCTCGATTTTATATATGTAATTAAATATCTCTTTGTTTTTTTAAATATTTCGTGCATTATGATCTACTTTATTAAAAAGACTGCATAAATTTGACACATGACTGTATTACATAGTGAAGTAAACGCGACAAAGCATGCGTATGCTTATTAATGTCCCATAAAAAAGATAAATACTATTTTATTTCTATATATGTTCGTAATATTATATACATAAAAATAGCAATTTGTATTAAGATTTTGTATGTGTCGTTAATCACTTGAGCAGTATACTCCTACATTTTTCTTATGGAGATGCCTGTGAGACATGGTACTACATTAAAGAAGTCAACGATATCTCAACAGGATAGAATAAGGATAGACTACTCGAAGATGATTTTATAAATCCAGCATATATTCGAATATAAAGATTTTAGCTTTAAATCAATAAATGCAAAGGAAGATCATATCCTATTGTTTTCTTAGACATGTCAAATCTCCTGTCTTACACACGCATAATGAAATAGTAACTACGTTGTTTTGATCGTTAGTTTCTATTTATCTATAATCGTGTAAAGTTTAACTATTCTTGTGGCACATAAATTATTGAACACTCATTACTCGTTGATTGTTAAATGTCCAAATATGCATGCCACGGGTATATGGCATACGAGAATGGAGATACGAAGATTAATGGCAAAACGGATAGAAGCGGTAATTGCGGTAAATCCGTCTACTCTAGTATGCATTAATTAACATGATTATATGGCGACGTGCACCAATATTGTCTCACAATAATATTACAAAACATAATTAAGCTTGTCGTATTCTGCATATTAAAATATAAAAAAAATTTAATTTCATTGAATGTATAAATACGTTGTATTACGTGTAAAATAACGGTTAATATACTCAGGTAATATACTTTGGTAGAATAATCATAGAAATGAATATCATTCATATGAAAATCCTGAAAAATTATAATTTATTTGGACTGTTGAGGAAAAACGGTAAAAAAATTTTTTAAATAATATTAATTATTTTATAAAAAATATATTAATATTTAAATAAAGAGAGAGAGAGAGAGAGAGAGAGAGAGCTCAATTTTCGACGGTCGTAAGTATCTTAGGCGTTACGAAATATAATTTAAATCATTAAATATTAAACGACATAAATCGAAAATTTGTTTCCATTTAACGATTACCAAATAATAGCTTAGTTTATTAATATATATGGCCATTTTGAATTCCTCGATATCGAGAGTTAATATTCTCGTAAATCAAGCCTCGATACAGCTGGTTTCATTAGTGCTGATGCGGTAAAGCAATGCAAGTTCAGTATGATACAGTGTTGAAGTTTAATGTATCATATAATTTCCAATCGTTCATTTATATGTTATGGAAATTATAATCCTTGTTTACTTTATTACTTATTACATAATAATACAGCTTTTACTTCAGTTTTTGATTTTCTTATGCATCTAAACGAGAGAATAATATAAAAACGTGTAAGATTATTTATCTTAATCAATTATCTTAATGTGTTCCTCCTTTATTCCTTAAAATTAAATTTATTAAACGATGCCACGAATACAAAATACGTGAATTGTTGAATAAATTTCAATGTGATATAAACAATTAAGATTAATGTGTAGGATTCTTTTTGAAAGAGAATGCATGTACGTCTTGCATTTTCAATGCGAAATATCAAAGATTAAAATATTCACGGATATGAATTATGAATTATTCTGTTAAATTTACAATGATATAGTCTAAAAAATAATATATAAATGAAAAAATAAAAACATGTAAATAATAAAAAATTGCATAAGAATTTTCTTTCGTAGATATTTTAAAGAACCTGACAGTCATGCGATTGATTAATTTGAAAATTAGCATGTATACAGATCTAATAATTGAATGACATCGGGATAGATAATTTATTAATAAATTAATAATAATTCATTATTATTGCAGCTATAAGGATCACAATATAATTGAGGGGATGGGCGAAATAAAAAAGGCCTAATTATAAAATCTTGATATTAATAAAAATTAAAGTACTTGCTACTTTTTTATTATATACAAATGGGTACAATATCAAATAAATTTATGTCTTTAAGAAGTTACATGTTACAATACGATTTTTCTATTAATCAATAATACATGAAAAAGCTAATTGTCAGAAAAAGGGCCTAAGTAGAATTGCGCTTTTATTCCGCCCATCTCCTCAATTATTGCAGGTACGATAACAATAACGATGCACGTGAACAATAAAGGTACATTGCGGATGTAGGATACAGCCGGTAAGACAAATTGTTGGATTTCGAACGTCATTCGCGATTCCTCGCACGTATTTTGTTCTACACGTAGCTCATGCGAATATTGCGAATTGACGTATAGCTCACATTTGTTTGATTTGCACGTTGTAAAAAGTCATTTCCGTTATTACTCTTGACGTAATTTGATAATTTATAGGAAATAAAAGGGATTCTCTATAGGTATGTTAATGACGAAAATTTCGTATTGCAGAAAATCATATTTTTCCACATAATATTTATTGATGCGAGAGAAGAATTGGAAATAAAGTATTATTTACATTTATTGATTTTAAATGATAATTGCTTTTGTAATATTAATAATATTTTATATAAAACATGTAATGCAATTTTTAATGAAAAAAATTTTATGTATTTGTTACACATTAAACAAATTATCATTATATTTTTCTTTATTATATTTTTTTAAGATATTAATTACTTATTGCTAATTGATTTATTTTGATTCTTTTAAAAACTGATATGCGCAATAAAAAAAAGGTGCTGATAAAAATTTTAAAGCTCATCATAAAGAAAATAAATTTGTTTGTCAATTATATAGTCACAATTTAGCAATGAAGGAAGTAATTTTTCGAAACATTGCTTTATAAAGCTACACTTATTTTGTACCACTCAGTGTAACATTTCCTGCTGCAGCGAAACACACAATTTTGTCGCAATAGAAAACTCAAGAGGAACGAGGACGTTGACAAAGGCTAACGTGGCAAAGGGAAGGACTCTTTAATTAATAAAATGAGGGCTCAAAGGAAAACGAAAGTAGAGCGAAACACGAGAGATGAGAAGCCTATGTATCAGATGTTGATTAGATGGAAAAGAAAACAGCGCTTAATAAAATCATAGGATTCACATGTATTCGTTATCATGTATTATTACTACATTAACTAAAGTGATGGAAAAAGAAGTCTTCAAGTTTAATAAACGCACGTTGTGCATTTTGCATTTTTATCTGTAGGAGAGAGAGCTTTTTCCGCGTAATTTACCATACATAGGATTATTATAGGCCTAATTCTCTGACGCAGCTGATTCTATAATTCCTTTACCGAATAAGCACTCACAAAACGAACTGTATCGACCGGTGAATTACGAGAATTTCAGCTTTCAATATCGAGAAACGCAAATGCAGCTGTGTGTTAATGAGTAGCCCAGAGATACTACCTATTAACTATAGCAGCAGTATATTCAACAATTTAGATTTTATTTTTTTTTTCTACATATAAATAATGTTCGTTATTTTTTTCATCAGATACTGTAGACATTTGGATTCCCGACAGCACAATATTCAAAAATATAATATTATTATTATTAATATTGATAATTATAAGGCAATTATTATTATACTATTGTTTGTTATTATTATTATTATCATTATTATTATTATTAGTATTATTATTATTATTAGGACGTCTTTATGTTATCATTTAATTTAGACACGTGTGCTGTCTAGAATATCTTAATGAGAGCTTCGAGATCTTTTAGAAATTGGAATTCTTGTTTCTCAATATTTAGATACTTGGATAGACGTTTAGATAGCAGTTAAGAATCATACGCATATATTATGCTTTTTGTAAATGCCTATGAATGTTCGGTTAAGCGCATCTTTTGACATACAATGTATATAATATATCACAAATGTGTTTAACCCGCGTGATGATATCTATCATGCGTCTATCACATTTCACGCAAAAATAAAGTCGAAAAAAATTTTAGAGATTGAAATTCTTGTTTCTCAATATTTAGATACTTGGATAGACGTTTAGAGAGGAGAAGGAGGAGGGGCGGAGGGAAGAGAGGGGAGGGGAGGGGAGGGGGCAATGCAACGCGGGGGATTTTTGCGCGGGCGGACGGCTGCAGGGGCAGCAATCAGCATCCGTGCGGAGCAGGTGGCGCTGACGCAGGGGCCGGAGATCACGGCGGGCGGGCCGAACCAGTCGTTTCCGCGCTTCACGCGTGTGCGCATCTTAGGTTGCGTTTTTAACGTGCCGTTGCAGCCAGCGGCTTCGAGCAGCTTCGAAAGAGAGCGGAAGAGAGAGACGGATAGACATAGACAGATAGATAGATAGATAGATAGTTAGATAAAGAGAGAGAGAGACAGAGATTTCGATAAGCATCTTCGCGTTGTACTCGCGCGGCGTACTTGACGAACAAATCGAGGCGCGCGCGGTCGATTTCGTGTTTCTCTTTTCCTCGCGGTTTTCTACGGGATCTTCAACGGGGCGCCGGCCGACGACGATGATGATGATGAAGACGGCAAGGTTGTGAGAGCGACGCACACCTGGAGCGTCCGATACGCGGCGCGATGGCATGGAAATGGTAAATACATTGCCGTTTATTCTCTTCTTCGAGAATCGATCCTCGCGTTTTCGCGATCACCGATTTTTCTCTATTTTCTCCTTTCTTTTTTTGCACTTCGATCGTTTTATTACTCGTTGTTCCGCGACACGCGTCGCCGGTTACGGCCTCCCTCTCGCTCTTCGATTGTTCGTGGAAGTACTCGATTTACTTGCGCTTCGATCGGCTCTGTTACGTTTTATTGTGCTGTGAAATGCGCGTGAAACGCGGATAATATATGTCCTTCGTATCTTACTATTACCGTTGGTCTAAATATCAAACAAGCGTAAACTATCAAATGTGGGCTCAATGTTATGACAATCCAGAAGGGATTAAGAAAGAACGTATAAGGATGTTTACATAAAGCGATAACATCATCTTAAAGTGGAAAAGACGACAATAAGAATAATTCTTCTTATATAGGAATCAAAAATAGAATACAATAAATTTATATTTAAAAATATATAAAATTATTATATATTTTTTTCTTTATGATTATGAATATTTTAATTAAATTTATATCAGAAAAAGATTTCACTTTATGAGTCGCAAAAAGGTTTTCACAAAGAATCGTGTTAAAGAAACTAAAAAAAATTTAGTGAATAAATCATTGACTGATAAATCAATAGTATTTTGATTAATATATACATATATATGGTGATACATTAATTTTTATTAATACCTCGACCTTTTACATTAAATCTTATTCATGAATCATTTCTGGAATATATTGCTACATTCGTGTATCAACTTTAATGTCAAGTCTAATTTTTTCTATCAAATTTTTTTTTTTTGATATTACAGGCAGGATAACTGTAATCTAGAGAAATAACTAATTTGAGGAATTATCGCGAAATTGAAGAGGTAATTAATTCTGTATACATTGTTAGACGTCAAAGAAGCAATATTAACTCAATCCTTTGACTTAAAAATACTTTGTTATTTTTAACTTTCATGTATGTTAAAATGTAAATCAATCTATTAGTTTAAATATAAACAGCATTCATATCATCGTATGTATTTAGTAAATAATAAACTACTTTTGAGTCAAATTTAACACATTTTCTTAAATTAAATTATTGAACTCCATTGTTTTAATTAAATTAACAACAAAAAATAGATAAATAATAGATAAATAATAGGAGCAGTGCCAATTTATAGAAATGATTAAAAATAACTCAAATTGGCTACCATTTGACATTACAAATTTAACAGTGTATAACAATAAAGTAATCGGTTGTTAATAAATATAAATGTATAACAGCGATAATCAATTAAAGTTTCTTCTAGAGTGTTGCAAAAATTATTCATATTTTAACATTCTTTCATTAAAAAACGCTACGAATTAATTCCAACACCTAATATATATATATATATTATATGACTTTTATAATTGAAATCTTACACGAAAACTCTCTACATTATTAAATTCATAATGTCAAAATTCATAATGTTCAAAATTATATCCAAATTAAGTTATTTTTAATCATTTCTATAGATCGCCATCATTATTAATATATCTAATTTAACTAAAGTAATAGAGTTAAACAATTTAATTTAAAAAATTAAATTTGATTCGAATCTCGTTTATCATTTACTAAATGTATGCATTATTTATTATGAAACTGATCACAAAATTGATTGATTTACATTTTGATACACAGGAAAGTTAAAAACAAAGAGTTATTTTTAATTCTAAATATTAGTTATCATTGCTTTGATATCTAAATGTATTTGAAATTAATTGATGGATATGATTTCATTATCCATACATTCTTGAAGAAAAATCCATCCCAAATTGATATGAAATCTCCTATTAAATGTCGATCATGTAGTGTTAGGAGAGAGAATTTATATACTTTAAAACCAATTTGCTTTGTAAAATATATTTTAATACGTATTATTATCTATATATTTATTATCTATATATTTTATCTAAAAAAACTAAAAGTACTCTTTTAGTTCCGACGTTGCAAAAAAAATTCGTCTTTTTTTTTTATCAAAAAGAATCATACATTATTAAATATCAAAGGAGCAATGATAATCTAATCTCTCAAGTTAAATAACAATTTGCTATTTCAACTTCCACGTGTGTCAAAATGTAAATCAATCCATTTCTGTGGTTAGTTTCAAAGTAAACATCGTTCATATTAAATACGTATGCATTTAGTAAATAATAAACTAAAGTTCAGTCAAATTTAATACATTTTCTTGCGTTAAATTGTTCAACTCCATTGTTCCAGTCAAATTAACAATACATTGGGTAGGAGCAATTGCGACCGATAAATGATTAAAAATAAACTCAAATTGGATATAATTTGACACTATGAATTTAACAGGATATATCAAATAAGAGAGAAAGAGAGAGAGAGAGAAGTCTGACAATGATAAGTGTTAGATTCACACTTGAAATTAGCTCTGTCTTATTAGCGTAAAGCACAGCTGTCGCGAATGTGCGTATGTATGTGAGTTAAATCTACGTAAAAGCTTCCGAAGATAGGCAGTAACGATATTACTTTTCGCCTGGGCCTCGATGACGAACCCGACGCTTACATTATTCAATTCCAATGTAAACAATTAATATCCAGTCGTGCGTTTTTAATTGAATATTCCTCTTTTGTTGAACATTTAATTGGTACGCGTTCGAAATTTCGGCCTGTGGTTACACGAAACGGAGCCAATTCCATGCCCTTTGTCAGAGATTCCTTTTAACCTTTGACCTTCACAACAACGGTGTTATATAGTAGTAGTAATATATATGTATTCGCGCGCGACTTGCGGCGCGATGCCCTCGTTCTGCGACACGAAAAGCAGGATCCCGTGGTTTCGAATGCATTAACATCGGAGTGGGCTTGAAAAAGCGTTGCAGCCTGCTTTTACACTCGCGTTTCCGTAGCTTGATAACTTAGTTTAAAACTACTTCGTGTAACTTACAAAAGGGCTCAGGTCTCACTACTCCATTGTGCATTTCACCCTGTCGACATCGCGATTTTCCACGCGTGCGGTTGAATCCAACGAATGTAGAATCAAAAATCAATGGGCGCGTGTTAAATTTTTAATACATTCCATCTGACTTTTGAATAATTAATATAATAAAAAAATAATTACATAATTATTAGAATATTCAATTATTTAGAATCATCATTAAGTTTTTAATTATTTATTTTTTTATTATTAAAAATTTACATTCTGTACATTTACTTTTAAATTTAATTGTATCCCAATTATAATTGAGTACCATAATAATTTAATTATTTACACGACTATTTAATTATTATTTTTATTATTGTATTAATTATTTTGTTAATTTTATCGTCGTTCCTTAAGTGAATAATATATTCGCATATTTTATTCGGACACCTTAACGTAATTTTATCGTCGACAGATGTTGCTCTAATAAAATTTCTACTCTGCGTACAGCCGAGTTAAGTCTTCCAATTACATCTAGCATTCGCGGAATACTAGAGCTGAATGCTTAATGAGAAAGCGACCTGAATTTGTCGCATTTATTTAAACTGAGAAATATATATTAAACACGCGATTTATACGATTACACTTAATTTACACAAACAGATTTGAGCCGGAAAATTTCAGGCGCAAAATACCGGACACGTCGTGCCGCGAATCTTTCTTCGTGTCTAAACATAAACCATGACGCCGGAATTCTTCACGAGTTTCTGCAATCGGACGTACAGAAAGTTGCTTTGAAAAGTGATAGTCCATGCATCTGTCAAGCGCATGGATAATAGTTCACGTGCAACGCCCTTGGGATTGTCTTTCCAATGAACGGACTATTCATTTAAAGTTTTGGCTCTAATTCAAAAACTAATCTATCTGGATTTCGCGAGTAAATACTTGTATTTGAAATTTTCGTCTCTTCTCAGTGGAGAATACTACCCGCCATGGCACCTGAAATAATTCTACGACCGAGGCGCTGACAAATGAGAAACTCAAATTTTTATGAGCAGTAAAACGTGATACCGTCGGTATTTCGAATCAGGCGTTATCGTTTGCTCAACGAATTTAACCGCGCACGACAATAAAATGCACGTAATAACAAAAGTAATAGCAATGGTCAGTAAGCATAATTCTTATGTTTATTAGCCTACTTTTTTGTAAATATAAGTATACTGTAGAGATATTACGTGTATTACAAATTATTACATATATAACGTGTTATTATTAAGTAATTGAATTTAGGCACGTAATAATTAACGTAATAAATATCATTACGTAAATTTTCTCTTTTTTTTTTGTTCTTTTAACTAACTCTTGATTTGTAAATTATACTTGGGAAAACATTTACAAAAAAAATCTGATACCTTCTCGCGTTCAACACCGCAGGTGTAGGAAGGACACCATTTTTTTTTTCTTCGTCGCTCATTTCGTAAATGCTACCGTCTCTGCTTTTCTTGCGTCACGTTGTACAGCTACGTTCTTGAATTGCGTAAATTCCAAGTACAAGTAACAACTGCCGTGAATGGAAAGCTCCACCCTCTTACTGGAAATCTTTTTTTTATGTACGCGTTTACAAAGTGCTTTTCAACAGGTTGTCGATTCAATTGTCTATTATTTCGGTTTCAAATTATCAAAGGAGACAGCACGGGTTTCTAGTGTACAAGTACTATTTCGTTATTTTGAAAATTTGACTCGATTTTGTAAAGCTTTGGCGTTTACGTGCACTTATGAAACACAAGCTTTACAAAAAGTATTTCCATTTTTATTTTAGCTGTTGAAAAAAAGCGGAAAAAGTTTACTTTATGAGTTTACTTTATTGGCGGGTCGAATTTATTTTTGTTTCAACATGTATACTTGAATTTTATACGATTTATAATGTTATATAATTTATATAAAATAAATCGTACGAAATTTTGTAAATTCTATATCGTGAGACGATAGAAATGTAATAGTTATATTTGTCTAAAATCAAATATGCAGAGAGATACAAATACTGTTATTATTTCACAAAAATGTTCCAACGG